ACAGCAGGGCTGGGGAGGTCTCCGGCCTGGAGACCCTGGGGTGGAGGTTGATCTGATGCGCTGCGTACCTGACCGCAAACGGCCACAGAAAATGGGGGGCAGCCGCATGCATCATGGACGTACGGGCGACGTCCATGACCATGCCAATGCGGCGCTCAGCAATCCCATTTTGCTGTGGGGAGTTCGGAAGCGTGAAGGACTGGCGGATGCCTCGCGCTTGACAGTAGGCCCGAAGAAGGCCAGAGGAGAACTCTCCGCCTCTGTCAGAGTGCAGACGCAACACAGGAAAGTCGGAGCCAAAGCTCTGCCTGAGCTGAAGACGAGCTGCGCGGATCCAGTCGATCAGCACCTCAGTAACCTCACCCTTGCTGCGCAAGGGGAAGACTGTGGTGTAACGCGAGTAGTCGTCAACAACGAGCAGGAAGTAGCGCTCCTGACTCTGTCCAAGGACGCGGGCCGGGCCCCACACGTCCATGTGAAGTGTCTGCAGCGGGGCCTCTGTCGGAGGAAACTGGGAGGAGTGAGGGGCAGCACGCTGGCGCCCCTCGACACAGGGGACACAAGCAGGGCCAGGGCCCTGAGGAAGGGGAGGTAGGGACCGGGGGAGACCAGACACAAGAAGACGGGAGGCCATGCCTCTGAGCCGAAGCAGAGAGGGGTGGCCAAGGCGGTGGTGCCAGAGGAGGGTCTCGTGAGACAGACGACGACACGAACAGGGGGAAGACTCAGGACCAGACCTGGACGCTGCTGCAAACACCTGACCAGACGAAGGGACCGTACCAGACTCAGTACCTGGAGGAGAAGCAGTGGTCAGTGTGTACAGGCTCGACCCAAGCCGACGTGTAAACGTAGCCAGGTGGCGTCCCGTGCTAGCCTCCGTGCAGTGGGTCACCCGCTGACGAGCAGGAGTGAACTGGTGGACACCCGCATCCTGTAGGTCAGCACCACTCACCAGGTTCGTCGAGAACGAGGGGAGGTAGAGACCAGACAGGGTGCCAGAGGGGGCCGCCGGACACGGAAGGACCGTGGAGAAGCGAGACAGGACAGGCCCCCCAGAGGGGTCAGCCAGGGACACCGCAACCGGCCGACTCAGCGGCGTGAGAGTAGTGCGGTCCCGAAAGAAGGAGCGAGACGCTCCAGAGTCAAGTGTGAAGGTGTGAGAGGCCGAAGCCGACACAGTACCTGAGAGGGCAGACTCACCAGTACCTGAGAGCTCAGACGCACTGGCACCTAGAGCAGCAGCCTCACTAGTACCTGACGCAGCAGTACCAATGCCCGGGTCGGGCGGGAAACACCGGTAACAGTCATCCTCATCACTACCAGTCACAACATACATAGCAGAAAGAATAGCATCAAAGTCAAGATCATAAATGGCTACACCAGCCCTAGACAGCTCCCCCCAGCGGGGGATCTCAGCGGCCTCCGGAAACTGCTGACGCCAGGCGTCGGTCAGGCGGCCAAAGCAGCGGCGGGCCGTGTGGGTGCCTCCACACCTCTCCCCCGCACGGTCGCCGGTGCGAAGAACGTAGGGGCAGGGACCAAACGCACCACCACGCTGACGCTGCAAGTACCACTCACGGAGCTGCTGAGGGGCGGGGACGGTGCGAGAGCGTTGCTGCTGCTGCTGCTGCTGGCGCTGACCACCCCCAGAGCAGCTGCGCTGGGACGAGACACTCCGACCCCCGCCGCCACCGCCACTCCCGCCTCCACCACCGCCCCCGTCTCCACCGCCACCGCCCCCACTGGTACCCTCGCCCCCGCCTCCTCCGCTACCGCCCCCGCCGCCACCTCCGCCTCCACCGCCTCCACCAGGTCCTCCACTCCCGCCACCACCTCCACCGCCACCCCCACTCCCCCCGCCACCCCCACCTCCTCCGCCACTGCCCCCTCTAGCTCCACCCGCTCCCTTGCCCCCCTTGCCCTTGCCAGAGCGGCGTCTACCGCTGGGGGCAGACGCCGCACCGACCGACTCAAAACCAGCGAGGTCGGCCGCAGCAGCAGAGGTGACAGAGGGCAGCAGGGGGGAAGGAGAACACCCCTCAAAGATGGGGGTGCGAGGGTCACCCCGAGAGGCCCCTACAGCGACTATGCTCTTCTCAGCCGCTAGCAGGGACTCCTCCAGGAGGTCGACAGTGAGGGTGGTGGGACAGACAGAGAGAAACTGGTCCCTAACGACACGGAGGGACTCAGGGAGACGGGTGACAAGAAAGTAGAGAGTGATGTACATGGGAGGAGGGTTGGCTGCGCGGAACTCAGCAGGAAGGGCAGCGCGGTAGCGAGCGTCACTAGCGCGGAGGTGGGTAATGAGGTCAGTGACAGTGGGAAAGGCAGCGAGGTCAGGGAAGAGAAAAGGTAGCATGAGGCGGCTCAGCGTAGCGGAGGAAGGGGAGGAGTAGCGTGCAACTACAGCGTCGTACAAGGCCTGAGCGGTCTTGCACTGACTAAAGTGGGCACGCTCGGAGGAAGGGAGGTGGCGACGCACAGCAAGACGTGCAGCAGCATCGCGGGTCGCCCACTTGGAGCGAACAGTGGAATCAGCATCAGGAGGAGGGGCAGGGACAGCGCCAGAGACAAAGTCAAAGAGAGAGACCTCATCGACCGCATCACACAGTAAGTACAGCTGCAGGTCCTCACTCTTGACTGCAAAGTCAATGGCTCTACCCTCAGCGTCAAAAGCTAGGACATTGGGGGTGGCCATGACAGCAGCTGACAGTCTCACCGGGCAGGAAGAGTCGGGTAGGTCAGCGGCGCAGGTACACAGCCCAGGAGCAGCAGTAGCCCGACAGGAGCAGGAGAGCAGCTCCTCTGGCGGCTCGGGCAGCTCGGGCGGCTCGGGCGGCTCGGGCGGCTCGGGCGGCGCGGGCGGCTCGGGCGGCTAGGGCGGCTCGGGCGGCTCGGGTGGCTAGGGCGGCGCGGGCGGCCCGGGCGGCTCGGGCGGCTCAGGCGGCTCGGGCGGCGGCACGGGCGGCTGGGGCAGCTCGGTGGCGGCTCACGGGCGGCTGGGACGGCGCGCGGGGAGCTCACGGGCGGCTGGGCGGGCGGCCACGGCGGCTCACGGGCGGCGGCAGCGGCGTCGGCGGCTCACGAGCGACGGCGGCTCACGGGCGGCGGCGGCGGCGTCGGCGGCTCACGGGCGGCGGCGGCGGCGTCGGCGGCTCACGGGCGACGGCAGCGGCAGCGGCGTCGGCGGCTCACGGGCGGCGTCGGCGGCGTCGGCGGCTCACGGGTGGCGGCGGCGGCGTCGGCTGCTCACGGGCGGCGTCGGCAGCTCACGGGCGGGCTGAAGGCCCACGGGTGGGCGGTTCGCGGGCAGCGCCGGTTCACGGGCGGGCGGCGTGACGGGCGGGCGGCGGGACGGGCGGCGGCGTCACGGGGGGGGGGGGGGGGGGGGGGGGCGACGGGACGGGCTGCGGCGTCACGGGCGGCGGCGTCACGGGCGGCGGTGCACGGGCGGCTGCGTCGCGGGCGGCGCTCACGGGCGGCGCTAAAGGGTGGCGACGGGCGGCGGCTCACGGGCGGCGCTACGGGCGGCGGCTCACGGGGGGCGCTACGGGCGGCCGCACGGGCGGCGCTAACGGGCGGCCGCACGGGCGGCGCTACGGGCTGCGCAAAGGGCGGCGCGAACGGGCAGCCGCACGGGCGGCGCTAACGGGCGGCGCTAACGGGCGGCGCGAACGGGCGGCTCGAAAGGGCGGGCGCTAGGGCGGGCGCTAGGGCGGGCACTAGGGCGGGCGCCAGGGCAGAAAAAAAAAGTTCTAGGTGGTGGGCCCGAAGCACAGTTCCCACAGGGGAACCTGCTCTGATTCCATGTTAAGAAGTGAACGAGAGAATGTGTGAACTATGAACGAAGTGAGTACAAATAGGAAACCCTAGCTGGGTTGTACCCCCTATGGGATACCCCACTATAGCCTACACAAATACGTAAGCTATAATGTTATGACAGGCTACCCCACTATAGCCTACACAATATGCAAAAGCTATATGTTCTGACAGCCAGGGCCTGGGTGACGTAAATTCGATCCAGCCTAGAGGCGGAAGGGGGTGAGTCACCTTGGTCACTCCTAGGGATCGCGAAGAAAGAGAACATTGTGGCTCCAGGGAAGATTTTCCGGAAGGAATCCGTGAGGCTATGGTTGGATAACATGGTGGACAGGATGGTACCCTCTGAAATTTCGTGACTTAGAAGTGGCCGGTTTCTGTCTTCTGGTGCGCATACCGCGTTAAAATCTCCCGCAAGAATGGTTCCGGCCGCCGCGGTGGGTACATCGAGCGCAGGAGCAAAAATGGCACGCCACCACTGTCTTCTAAGGGTGACGGTGCAGGGGGCGTAGACAGCAATAATACAGAGTTGCTCTTGCATGAAATTGATGTGCAGCGAGAGAAGACGTCCGTCACTGGAGGGCTCGATAGAGGAGATGGACACATTTTTATTAAAGATAAGAATTGCAATACCACCAGGTTTGGCACGATCGGTGAACGGAGGGGGGCATTGAGCATGAGAGGAGGGTCTGAAGGAAAGGAGGAGCCGAGGAAAGTTAAGAGTAAGCCGAGTGTCAATCAAAATTAAAATATCCGTTCTTCGGTCACACTTAGATACCCATGAGCGTAAGTCATACATTTTTTGTTGTTTGTTAAGTCCATTGACGTTTATGCAGCGGATGGTGAGGGGGATTAACATTTAGAGCTGTCAGGGGCCCTCAAATGCTGAAGCATGTGCATCCACAAGGCGTGGTAAGAGGATTTTTGGTGAGTCACCGTGCAGGCACAAAGCCCCACCAGCGCATGAGTATACTCTTGCAAGGGATACACGTACAAGGCATAGCAAAAGTGTAAGCTATGAGGCCCAAAATGCGTCTGGTAGGCTAGCCAGGCACGGGAGAGTACCCGGCCGACCGGAAAGGCTTCTACTGCAGGAATGCAGTGATGTGCGGGTGCTGCAGCAGCGTGGTGACCCTCCAGGCACCGTACTTCTCTTTGTCTGCCGGCAGGTGCGCCGAGTCCTACAGGCGCTTGAGGTGAGACTCTAAAGCGAGGTGATACATTGCGCTGTCCAGCGCAAACCCACACGCGAAGTCGCACAGGGAACACGTCCAGACTTCGACGTCCAGGTCGAGCCCAATCAGGAGAAGGCCGGGATCCTTCTTGAAAGCTGCTAGGGCAGGCTGCTGGCCAATCAGCCGTCCTGAGGAGGGGGAAAAGGAGCGGTATACAGCCACAACTATTTAGGCATGAGGGGAAAAAGAGCGGACAAGGGATTAAGGAAGGAGCTGGTAAGTCATGCCAACAGAGATAGAGCGCAGAGGCTCGGGAAGCACAAGATAAGCTCTCGTGGACAGGGGCAATAGTAGCAAGGATTAGCAAGCTCAACAAGAGTAATTTATAAGGGAAGCAGAAAGCCGTGGTACCGTTAACAGTTTGCAGCTGGGCCACCGAGATGGTGTGGCGGTTTGGGAGGCGCGCACGGCGGGTGAGGGCGAAGCACGCGTGATCAGTCACGCGGTGGTTACTGGAGCAGACGGAACAGGAGTGGGATGAAATGTTGAGAAGCACCGGATCCTCCTGACCCGGAAGCCAGAGGACCGCAGGGATACGATCAAAGCCCGCATCCCTGTTTGCTGCCACAGGAAGACCGAGTAGCTGAGAATAAGCCGAGTCATCGTAAGGGTCCTTGAGCCTGTGAAACAGGCGAAGATCAGAGAGCCAAGGCAGTCCTGCCTCGGTCGTTCCCGCGAGACGTATGCTGCGCATGCGCTCGGGGGAGTACCCCAGCGGAACGTTGCGGAGAACCACATGGGTGTCACCCCTGGCGCGAGCCGTCGTGAACTCCCGATTGGGATCTGAGAACACCTTGACTTTCATCCCACGGTTGTTAGCCAGACGAACCGTGACCGGAAAGAGGCTGCGAAAGATCCTAGCGTCATTAGCAGAAGGCCAAGAAAAGGTATGCCTGGAATTTGTGTGGCGGGGAAGCCGCAAGGCCTCACTGGCCGCTGACTCAAACGAGGGAATAACACCGTTGAATGCCTGACCGTTGATGAGAGCTGAGATACGCGAAAGCACCGCGGCGCGAACCTCCTCCGATGAATACTCGGGGAAAATCACATCAACCATCGATTGCGTGTTGCGCGTCAGAGTGTGCAGAACCGCTCCAACCGTCATGCGATGACGGCGCAAGTTTCGATAGCGAGCGTTGGGTGCAAGACCGGTGGTCACGCCAGCAGCAGTATGGTCTGGTTCAGGTTTCGGCTGCACAGGCCAAAAGCGAGAAGAAGGCGCCGGGCGAGGCGCAGAAGGAGCAGGCGTGCGACCAGGCGCAGAAGCCGTGGCAGCAGAGCTGCCGGAGGAGCTTGCGCGGGGGACCGGGGGAGGAGCCGAAGGAGGCGCGGAGGCAGTGCCTGAGGTACCAGCAGCCGAGGATTGCCCCTCACTGCATAGCTTCTTCGCCGCAGGTTCTCCCGAGGGAGGCGGCTGAGCACCGACAGGAGCAGAGCTCCGTCAGGGAGTTCACCGAGGAATTCATCCCCCAGCTCGTAAAAGGAATCGTCTCCAACGGGAATCTGACCTTCCGTCATGACGTGGTCGGGATTGTGCTCGGTAGCCATGGTTGCTAGAGGTACTCGTGAAATGGCGAAAGGCCTGGCTTTATGCCAAGATCCTGGTGAGAGGGGGAGAACCACCGGATCGGGAAATGTTGCAAGTGTAGGCAAAAACCCGGACCGCACATTGAGAGACATAGAGTAAAAATTGGTGCTTTGGCGATGGCCGTGGCAACCATTAGGAGGTGACTGGGAGCCAGATCGGCTGCCCGAGTCGGCAAGATACGCATGTGAGTTAAGCGGAAGAGTCAGGCAGCCGCGAGGGACAGCACGCTGGCAATGAGGTGGAAACAATAAGCCTGGATCGGGGGGACGAAGCAAGACCGCCACAAGGGTCTTGCATAAATGAGAGCAGCCTGAGGTGGTCCATTATGACTCGGAACCAACTTGGACGAGGAGAATGTAAGGATAAGGTAGCAAGATTCCAGCATTACGGGAGCACCAGTCGTCGCGTTGGGCAATGAAGGAATCTTTGCTGAAGTGGCGCTCTGCGTTTGCACAAAACACGAAAGTTAGTAAAGACACATTGTTAGTCCAGCTCACCTTTCCCAGAAAGTCGGAGTAGAGAATCCAGAGGGGGATCCGAAGACCCAAGAGCCTGCGCACAAGACACTCGTTACAGATCAAGGAGCTTTGCTTACCTTCGAGAAGATCGATCCATAAAGAAGAGCGAACGCAAAAAACGTTATCATCATGGCGATTCAATGGTGTAGAAGGTAAGCGGAAGCAGGTGTAAACGAGTACAAGGAGTAGCGGAGAGCTTCATTTTTTCAGTCCTGGCCGACCATTCGCATTCATGTGATTGATTGTCTGGGAGGATGGTTTGGTACCATTCGGGCCGACTCAGCAGCAGTGCTGCTGACGAGCATAGACGTGACGGAATCAAACGGACTAAATGGGACCGTCAGTCCAGGATTAGCAGCGTTAGGTGGGAAGAAAAGGCAGTGAAGTCATACTCGAGCACGTTGGTTCGGGAAAATGAAAACGTGCATTGTTCACGAATAATTTCCTGGCGATGGGTAAGGAAAGGTATTTTGCAGACTCAGAACGCGAAGCGCCAGAGCGTATGGAGCTCCACAGAAACCGCTTTCATATGTTCTCGTCGGCAGATGAAGTTGCGATTAGTAGCTCCGATATACCTGTAAATCACTCTTAACGCAACACATGAATGTTCGTTCAAGTTATGTGGAGCTCGTTGGTTAAGAAATAGCAAGCTCGCGTTCTACTTCTTCTCGTCCCTGAAATTCTTACCACCGTCAGCGACCTAATAGCCAATGACATGCGGATACTGATACTATTCTTGCTCATTGACATCGTTTTTTAAACAGCGTGATATCGCTCCAACTGACATTTGGCTCTCCAATTCCTGCTGACAGTCATCCCTTGATCCAGCGATTCAAACTTCAACCTTGATTCTCGACTCTGGCTGTTTGACTTTCAATTAAGGCTGTTTCGGCTCGCAGCAGCGGCTGGAATTCGATCTTCAACACAAGCCGTTCGATTTCTGCAGCGTCTGTTTCGATTCTCAGCAGCGGCTATTTCGATTTAACAGCAATGCAGGGCGTGGCGAATGTGCTTGTAGAGCTGACACAGGAGGTGCAGGAATTGGAGGAGTCTATAACGAACAAGGTTCACCAGCTTATAGCGAGGATGACTGCGGTGGAGCACGCGCAGGGAGTAGAGGAGCATCTACAGAGACTGGAGGAGAGTGTGGAGGGAATCAGGGGTCTTGTGGAAGGCGTGAGAATGAAACTGACGGAAGTCGGGGGTAGCAGGGAGTTGGTTCTCGTGACTCAGGAAACCGTGCTGTGCCAGCAGCATCAGCAGGAGCAGCAGCAGCAGCAGCAGCAGCAGCAGCAGCAAGTGCTGCAGTGGCATCCAGAGGATCAGCAGCAGGAAAAATCACAGCGTCAGCAGCAACAACCGCAGCAGCAGCTACTGAAGCAGCTGAAATGCCGAAGCTGTCAAGTACGGATTCCGAGAGGGGGTCATGGCTCGTCTTTGATAGGCGCGAAGAGACGGATGAGAACGATGGATGCGCAGCTGCAGCAGCAGATTGTCAAGGTTCAGAGGATAGAAAAGGTAATGTGTACATCAACATATGTTTCCTCACCATCGTTAATTCCACACAGTCCCTCATTTTCCACCTTATCGCCTCATTGCTTTTCTTTTTCCTAGGATGGTGAAAAGTGTAGCTGGCTCCTCTTCTATTCTTATTTGAGTCCCTCCCTCCTACACTTAAAGCTTTACGCTCAGGAATTCCACATCCGCTCCCAGTGCACTGGTCATAACAGTGCACTCCGCTCCCAGTGCACTGGTCAAACAGTGCACTGATGGCTACAGTGCACTGCTGTTTTTCAGCCCTTTCAAAGCCATTTTTTCCAACGTATTGTCCTCGCTCATGGTTATTCAGCTCTTTTGGTTGCCGTTATTCTCAACTCTCCATACTTTTCATCTCGCTTCTTCTCAACTCCTCTCCCATTTCCATCCGTTACATCCCAATGTTCTCCTTCTCATTCCCCACCAGGGCTTGCAATCTCTAGCCACCTTCCACAGCACACAGCTCCTCAAGGGCCTCACCACTCTGGACCTCTCTGCACTCCCTTCCCCCTCCTACCACACACTCCTCTTCCACCTCCTCTCGCTCTCCCTCCACCACTCCGCATCCCTCTCCACCGTCTCCGCACTCAAAGCCTTCCCATCAATAACCACCCCCTGCCTGCAGCAAACCATCGTCCTGAATCTCCCAGCTCTGAGAAAGCTTGATCTCAGCAACTGCACTCGCCTGGTCGACTCTGATTTGCCTCTGATTGCTCGACTCACACAGCTCACTCACCTCTGCTTGGCTGGATGCACTGGCTTCAGGTTCGGTGCAGCAGCACCGTACCCTGTGACGAGCAGTACTCCAAACCTGGCAAGCTTGCCAGATTTGGCAAATTTGACCAATTTGGCAAATCTGACAAATCTGGCAAACCTGACGAACCTGACGAATCTGACAAACCTGAGGAGGCTGAATCTCAGCAGGACAACGGTGGGCGATGAGGGCATTGCGATCTGGTGTCAGGTCACAGAGATCAGAGCTCTAGATCTGCGTCACTGCACGCGCATCACATGCCGGTCCATGTACCACATTCGCCAGCTGCAGCATTTGGACACGCTCAACCTCGCCTGGGTGGCCAATTGTGGAGCAGATTCTGCACCTGGCGACAGGTAAGGCAATATTCTTAAAACTTTTAAAGAATGAAATTGACCGTAACTACTCTGCACCTGGTGGCAGGTGGATCAGGGCTTTGGGCCCTATGGAGGAGCTTGTGTGGCTGAGCCTGTTTGGGTGGCAGCTGAGGGACGAAGGTGCCCTGTGTGTTGCCAAGTTCTTCCCGAAATTGAGGGCATTGCGCTGCTCTGCTGCCGGTGGTGGTGGTCGTGCCGCTGCTGGTGTTGGTGCTGGTGGTGGTGCTGGTGGTGGGTTGACCAAAGGTGGGGTGAAGAAGATGGTGAAGAAGTTGCCTCGCTTGGGGGAGCTCTGGCTGTTTGGAGGCTCGGAGGAGGTTAGGAAGGCAGTGAGGAAGGATCGTGCTTGGGTTACAGTGCTCTGCTAGTGTGGAATTGGTATGTCATTTACTGTGCTTGTTCTATCACTCGGTACGGTATGTTCCCTTCCTGCAATCAAGCCGTGCATTTACCTTAAAATTGATGGCCCAGTTTTACATCAGCAACTTCAGCCAGAACACAAAGCAACCTTAGGTTTTGATCTCACTCAACCAATAAGGGTGGCAATAATTGTACAGTAGCTACACTGCATACCCAGGATGAAGTGCTGCCACTGCCAGCTTTGGGTTACATTGTTTAGACCTGAAGAAGGAAAAAAACAGCTACTAACAAACGTCACGTGGTTTCTTAAAATATCTAGCCCATATACTGTAGCCCATACACTGCAGTTCATTTACTGTACCCTATTTCAGAATGGGCCTGTGCTGGCTGTAGCACGGGGCCTCGCTCCACGTGGGCAGGACAGAGATGACTTCCTGCACGGCTGCCAGGGCGTTGCGCAGGATCTCCTTCTCAATGCGCACCAGCCGTGCCGCCACCCGCCTCTTGGGGCTGCTTGCCGGGTCTGCGATCTGAGAGAGGGGAGAGAACATTCAGGGAGACCGGGGGCAGGGAGACAGGGGGCAGGGAGACAGGGGGCAGGGAGACAGGGGGCAGGGAGACAGGGGGCAGGGAGACAGGGGGCAGGGAGACAGGGGGCAGGGAGACAGGGGGCAGGGAGACAGGGGGCAGGGAGACAGGGGGCAGGGAGACAGGGGGCAGGGAGACAGGGGGCAGGGAGACAGGGGGCAGGGAGACAGGGGGCAGGGAGACAGGGGGCAGGGAGACAGGGGGCACGGGGCAGGGGGGAGGCGGCAGGCGGCAGGCGGCAGGGGGCAGGCGGCAGGCGGCAGGGGGAAGGGGGCAGGGAAAAGGGGGAAGGGGGAGGTGAGGAGGGGCGCAGAAATGACATCCTCCACGGCTGCCAGGGCGTTGCGCAGAATCTCCTACTCAATGCGCACCAGCCGTGCCGCCACCCTCCTCTTGAGGTTGGTTGCAGGGTCTGCAATCTGTAGCGAGGGGGAACAAACAGGAGGGCAGAGGGACACATGGGGAAAAAAGGGCAAGGGGCAGGGGGAACAGGGTACAGGGGGCAGGGGAAAAATACAGGGGGCAGGGGAAAAATACAGGGGGCAGGGGAAAGAGGGAAAAAGGGGATGAGGAGGGGAGCAGAAATGACCTCCTGCCTGCCAGTGCATCTGGGCAGGAAGGCACAGGGCGCAAGTGGGTGTGTGCTGCTTGGGTTGGGCAGAGAGGCGCAGTTAGGAGTTGGCACGGCACCATCACTGACCGCAGCAATGCCCTTTTCCAGTGGTGGAATAGGCCACTTTTGAGGCGCCTCAAAAGTCATCACTGACCGCAGCAATGCCCTTTTCCAGTGGTGGAGTAGGCTGCAAGTCTGCCTTCAAGGAAGAACCACTACGAAACCTACTTTTAATATTATTAGATGGTTACCTTTAACGAATCATCTCTTACCGCAGCAATGTCCTCCTCGAGCGTGGTGGGGTAGGCTGCAAGGCGGGCTTCAAAGAACTCCACCAGCTGATCCAACACCGCGTTCTCGTTGCATGGACTCACCTGTGTGGGGACCATAGGGAGAGCATGGGGATTATGAACACCAATCTTCACTCACCCCGCACATGGGCCCATCGGCGAACATGACACACTCCATGTCGAGGGGGTCAGTGACATGCACCAGGCGCAGGTAGGGCATTCAGCTCAACCTTACACCACACACTGGCACGGCCACACCCAGCACACAGAAACACACCAATCTTCCACTCACCCCGCACATGGGCCCATCGGCGAAGGTGACAAACTCCATGTCGAGGGGGTCTGTGACATGCACCAGGCACAGGTAGGGCATGCAACCCCCACTCTTACACACAAACACCCACACACAGCCACCAACGACACATCAGCCCTCTCCTACCCCCACACACAGGCTCACACTCACCCCGCACACAGGCCCATCAGCGAAAGTGACGAATTCCATGTCGAGAGGGTCGGTGACGTGCGCCAGGCGCAGGTAGGGCATCATGTCGTACAGGGCTGCTTGCTCCTTGCCCTTGTACAGCTGATGGGTTGGGTTGGGGGCGGTTGAGAAGGGTGGGAAGGTGAAGGGAGAATGTGTTATCACATCAGACGCACGTAGGGCATCATGTCGTATAGGGCTGCCTGCTCCTTGCCCTTGTACAGCTGATGGGTTGGGGGCGGTTGAGAAGGGTGTGCAGGTGAAGGGAGAATGTGACATGTACCACAGTGCCAGACGCAGGTAGGGCATCATGTCGCACAGGGCTGCCTGCTCCTTGCCCTTGTACAGCTAAAGTGAGGATTGGGGGACGGGGGAAGGGAGGGGTGGGGGGGGGTTGGGTTTGAGCAGGGAGCAGGTGAGGGAAGGGTGCATCATCATGCCAAGTGCAGGTAGGGCATCATGTCGTACAGGGCTGCCTGCTCCTTGCCCTTGTACAGCTGATGTGAGGAGTTAAAGGGGTGGGTTGAAGGCAGTTGAGAAGGGTGTGGAGGAGAGGGGAGAATGTGTCATCATGGCAGGCGCAGGTAGGGCAGGGCATCATATCATACAGAGCTGCCTGCTCCTTGCCCTTGAATAGCTGGTGTGGTGGGTTGGGGGTAATTGAGAAGGGTGTGGAGGAGAGGGGAGAATGTGACATGTGCCACAGTGCAAGACACAGGCAGGGCATCATGTTGTATAGGGCTGCCTGCTCCTTGCCCTTGTACAGCTGATGGGTTGGTGGTGGTGGGGGGGGTTGGGGAAAGAAACAAATGAAGGGATTGTTGGGGGAATGTCAGTTAATAATGTCAATGATGGAAACAGACGGGTATGGAAGTATGGTGTGCAGGGCCAATGCAATGCACCTTGCCCTTGTACAGCTGATGTGAGTGGGCACAACGCATCATCATCACACAACAGTTGAAAGTCCACCTGAAGAATTGCCTGAAAGTGCCACATGAAAATTAACCTGAAAATGCACCTAAACAACCACTACGGGCAAAAACGCCAGGAAATTCACCTGAAAATTCACCTGAAGAATCATCTGGAGCTGGAGACTCACCTGGAAGTCCTGGGTGCGCAGGAGGTCGTTCTTCTGCACGATGGCCCGCTTGGCCTGGTAGAGTGGGTCGTCAGGGTTCAATGCCACCTGAGAAACGATGGGAGAGAGAAGGGGACGGGAAGTGGAGAAGCGATGAGGAGCAGCAGGATAGAGTGCCTATGAGGGTTGGTTAAAAAAAATCCACTTGGCCTGGTACAGTGGGTCGTCGGGGTTCAATGCCACCTGGGGCACGCAAGGGAGTGTGTGTGTGTGATATGGGGGAACAAGGAGGGGGAGATGTAGTGCGGGAAGAAGGGAAGAGTGGGGTAGACAGCAAAGAACAGATCGTTAGGCAGTTGTCTTCCATTGCCAGACAGCATCAGTGAACCTATCTGTGGGCTGCCCTCGCTTCCCCAACTGCCGCCCTCGCTTCCCCAACTGCCGCCCTCGCTTCCCCAACTGCCGCCCTCGCTTCCCCAACTGCCGCCCTCGCTTCCCCAACTGCCGCCCTCGCTTCCCCAACTGCCGCCCTCGCTGCCCCAACTGCCGCCCTCGCTTCACCAACTGCCGCCCTCGCTTCCCCAACTGCCGCCCTCGTTTCCCCAACTGCCGCCCTCGTTTCCCCAACTGCCGCCCTCGTTTCCCCAACTGCCGCCCTCGTTTCCCCAACTGCCGCCCTCGCTTCACCAACTGCCGCCCTCGCTTCCCCAACTGCCGCCCTCGTTTCCCCAACTGCCGCCCTCGTTTCCCCAACTGCCGCCCTCGTTTCCCCAACTGCCGCCCTCGTTTCCCCAACTGCTCCCACTTGCACTAGCACCACTCCTCATTCACCCTTTACCTGCCGACCTTCACTCACCTGCCCTGTGAGGCAATCATAGGGATTATACAATGCCGTAGTTAAGCAGCAGAGCAGGAGCGACATCCTCCCCTGGTGCCCACCTCACCTGCCCACCCCTTCTAAATCGCCCCACTCACCTGCACCGTAAGGTGGTCATAGGGGTTGTCCTCTCCTCGCCCACACTGCCGTAGTTGAGTTGAGCAGATAGCACCTGCATCATGCGCTGCTAGCACCCCTCATCCGTCGCACGTGCCACTAACACCCCTCACCTGCGCCGTGAGGCAGTCATAGGGGTTGTCCTCGTCCACAATGTAATAGCTGGATTCAGCACACGTAGCACTAATACCCCTATGAGCCGTGCGTGTACGGCCTATGCTCCTCACCTGCGCCGTGAGGCAGTCATAGGGATTGTCCTCGTCCACAATGCCACAGTTAAGCTGAGCATATGTAGCACTACTACACTCCCGTCTACTACACTCCCGTCTACGCCCTATCCACCACCAGTACCCAACCACTATACCTCTCACATGTACGCCCTATGCACACAGTACCCACCTGCACCGTGAGGCGGTCATAGGGGTTGTCCTCGTCCACAATGCCGTAGTTGAGCAGCAGTCGTGTGTTGGGCTGGGGGCCACACCTGAGAGAGGTTGGGAGGGGGTAGTGGAGGAGGGGAGTATAAGACTGATGCACTGTGGGGCGGTCGGTCATAGGGGTTGTCCTGTCCACAGTGCCATAGTTGAGCAGCAGGCGAGTGTTGGATGGTGAAAAAAGGGTAAGAAAGGGGAGGGGGGAGGACAAAAGGTGCAGGGGTCCACGATACCACACGCTGAGCCGAGAAGCTCTTCCCCCTTAACAGGGCAATCCAGGACGATCATCCAGGTATCACCCCCATTGGGGGGAGCAGCGGGCATGGAGTGCGTGGTGTGGTGCTGCAGTAGGCACATGCCTCTCAAAGCGGATACGAGTATAGGGACTCACTTTTCTGTCTGAAACCCAGCACACACACCACTAGCGACACTCACCACACGCTGAGGGGCTCCCCTGCCTTGACAGGGCGGTCCAGGCGGAGCTCAATCAACCCCTCCATCGGGGGAGGCAGCGAGCATGGAGCGCAGGTGGTGCGGTGCGGTGATAGATAGGCACATGCCTGTCGAGGAGGTTACAAGTATAGGGATTTACCCTTCTCCCCGCAACTAAGCACACTCACTCACCAGACGCTGAGAGGCTCCCCAGCCTTGACAGGGCGGTCCAGGCGGAGTTCAACCCCTCCGTCAGGGGAGGCAGCGAGCATGGAGCGGGTGGTGCTTTTGTAGGCGAGAAGAGGCGGACCCATGGGGATGAGGGCGAAGCGACGGGGGAGAGGCACGCCCTGAGAGGAAGGAGGGGTATTGTGGGGTATAGATGGGAAAAGAGGGAGGGGGAGAGGAGGGGGAGGGGTTTGTGGGCAAGCGCGCGGTGTTGCGGTAGGCCGGGAGAGGCGGGCCTATTTGGATGAGAGCGAAACAGCGAGGGAGACTCAACCTTCAGGAGGAGACATGGGGGGAGGAATCGGAGCGAGCAGGTATGGCGGAGGGGAAAGGGTGTAGCACACAAGAGAATCAAATCTCACCTGCAAGTACCCGTACTCAAGCACAGGAGAATAAAATCTCACCTGCAGGTGCCCTTAGTGCCTTACTCGAGCGCAAAAGAACATAGAATCTCACCTGCTCAAGCACAAGAGGAGAATCAAATCTCACCTGCAGGTGCACCACGCATGACTGCACGGCAATGAAGGCCTGCTTGAAGATCTCAAAGGGAAAAGTCTCGGAGGGTGTGTCGTAGGGGTATTGCTGAAGAGAATGCGGAGGAAAGGGTGCGAAAGGGAGCAAAAGGGGGTAAGGGAATCAAGAGATGGAGGCCGGACGGACAATGTGCGAGTTACAGGACATGACAGCACAGCTATGAAAGCCTGCTAAAAAATTCCAAAGGGATAGGTCTTCGAGGGCATGTTGTAGGGATATTGCTGTGGTGGGGGAAGGGGGAGGAGAGTCAAGAGAGAAGGGGGCTGATAAATGGAGGATATAGGGGCATGACTGTACTGTACAGCACAGTGTTGGTGACTCCTTAAAGATCTTACATGGGACAGCAAACAGCGGGAGACAACGGGAGACACAGACCACATGGCATCACACACACACACGACATGGCATCACACACGACATGGCATCACACACACACACGACATGGCATCACACACGACATGGCATCACACACGACATGGCATCACACACGACATGGCATCACACACACCAGGTGGCACCACAGAAAGCACATTATCACACACATGTGGCATTCATTCATTACCTTGAAAAGCGAGGCTGCAAGGAACAACACTGTGTCCAGCTCCTCGCACTCACTCTTGCTGCCCTGCAGGTGCAGCCTTACTCAAACTCCCCACACGCACATGCCTGCCTCACACTGCCCACAGCACACATGCCTTCCTGCACACAAAGCAGTACCTTGAAGAGCGAAGCTGCGAGGAACCACACCGTATCCAGCTCCTCGTACTCCCTCTTAATGCCCTGCAGCCTCACCCATACACTCCCCACACATGCCCCACATGCTCCCTACACAGCAGTACCTTGAAGAGCGAAGCTGCAAGGAACCATACGGTGTCGAGCTCCTCATACTCCCTCTTGATGCCCTGCAGCCGCGCCTCCACCTCCGCCTGTGGGTTCAGAGAATGAAAATGGGAGGGAGAGATATGGGCGGATGTGATGTGGACAGGTGAAGGCGAGGGTAAAGGGTGGGATGTGCCTGGTTCCTCGTACTCCCTCGTGATGCCGTGCAGCCGCACCTCCACTTCCGCCTGTGGGTTTGTGGGGATGGGGGGGGGAGGCATGTGGGTGGTGTGATGAGGAAAAGATGGAAAATAAGGGAGAGATTTACAGTGTACTGTGCAACTCCTCGTACTCCCTCTTGATGCCCTGCAGTGCATGGCCGTGGAGTCTCGGCCGTGGAGTCGCCATGGCCGAGTGCTTGTTGCTGCAGCTATCCTGAGAATTTAAGAGCCAAACACACCTTCTTGGGGCTGCCTTGGAACAGCTCTGCCACCTCCTGCGGGTCCCACAGAAGAGGCGTCTACATGGGCGTCTGCCCTCGCCCCCTCTGCCTGCAAACCTCTTCCCAGCGCCTAACAAAACGCTTTCCCCCCCATGACCGTCATACATTTTCCCTACTCCTCACCTTCATGGGGCTGCCTTGGAACAACTCTGCCACCTCCTGTGGGTCCCACAGCAGTGGGGTCTCAACAGCAGTCTGCCCTCGCCCCCTCTGCCTATCAAGCTCGTTGATAAAAGGGCGCCAGAAGGACCGGTCCGCCTGCTTCTTCTCAAACCCTTTCTCAGAAAGACCGAGCATCAACGCACAGCGCCAGACACACCAGCAGCACAATGCTGCTAACCCCCTCGACTCTCACCTATCTTCCTCACCTGATCCTGATGCTCACCTTCATGGGACTCCCTTGGAACAGCTCTGCCACCTCCTGCGGGTCCCACAGCAGCGGGGTCTCAACAGCCGTCTGTCCTCGCCCCCTCTGCCTATCAAGCTCGTTGATAAAAGGGCGCCAGAAGGACCGGTCCGCCTGCTTCTTCTCAAACCCTTTCTCAGAAAGACCGAGCATCAACGCACAGCGCCAGACACACCAGCAGCACAATGCTGCTAACCCCCTCGACTCTCACCTATCTTCCTCACCTGATCCTGATGCTCACCTTCATGGGACTCCCTTGGAACAGCTCTGCCACCTCCTGGGGATCCCACAGGAGAGGGGTGGCCACGGCGGTCTGGCCTCGCCCCCTCTGCCGGTCGAGCTCGTGAATAAAAGGGCCCCAGAAGGACTCATCCGCCTGCTTCTTTTCGAACATGAGGTAGAGCGCCAAGCACGCCAGCTCGGATAGCTTGTTGGTTGTTACCAGCTCAGCTGAGAGAGTGGGGGACGGGGGGCGGGGGAAGTGGGAGGGTGTGTGGGGAATGGATGAATGAAGGGGCGCCAGAAGGACTCATCCGCCTGCTTCTTCTCGAACATGAGGTAGAGCGCCAAGCACGCCAGCTCCGATAGCTTGTTGGTTGTTATCAGCTCCGCTGGAGAGGTGGGTTGGGGTGGGTAATTGAGGGGAGTGGGCGAGAGGGCGAGAGGCGGAGAGCAATGGTACGTGTCGCATCGCTCGTGGGTGAAAGATGACACATTGGCTCGATTCAGAGTTGCCATTAACGACAAATATGGAGAATGGGTGATGACGCGCACAGAAGACACGGAACTTGAGACAAGCGTCGTGCGGTCGCATTGCAAGATCAGTGAGACGATATTTTTTTGCCAAATTAATCAGGGGGTGCGTGCGTCTGTCGGGTGAGATGTTTCAACGCCAATGTACCATTCCCTACGGAACTACAATGTGAGGCCTGTTACTTGCTTGTGCACCCATGAAATGATGAAACATGCAGACACGCAGGCCATACCTAGGTTTTCGTCTCCCAGCACTCGACCCAGGGTGACAATGAGGTTCTCCGGAACCTTAGAGTCGACTCAGAAGACAGGAGACAAAGGGCCACGCAAGCCATACCTAGGTTTTCGTCTCCCAGCACTCGACCTAGGGTGACAATGAGGTTCTCCGGAACCTTCAAGGGAATGTCGCCGGCCTGCCAGAGATGGATTCAGGGATTGTCGCGGAACGGGGCGATGCAATGGATTCATAGATTGAAACACAGGCGCATAAGAGCCGATTCAGTCGAGCATGAAACATTCAATCGCTGGTGCCAGTACCGATGAGAAAAGCTTAGAAAGACACGAAGCTCGGAACCTTCGTAACTCCCAATTTCCAGACCCATCGACATGGTTCTTCTGTCGAGAACCGGATCAGCGCACAGCGAGCATATTGAGTGCTGAAGGACGCATAATGACGTTTAGAATGGCGAATTCTAAGCTTGCCTGCAGATCTTCCGTGTTTGCAACATAAGGGGCTCTGGGAGTGGCCCCGGGCTGCAAAGCACAGCGAGCATATAAAACGCTGAATACTCGCGGATTCTAGGCTTGCCTGCAGATCTTCCGTGGCGGCAACGTAATGGATCGTATCCTCCTCGGGAGTGGCTCCGGGTCGCTCCTTCAGCGTGACTTTGCACGGAGGCAGCCCGTTCGCGTTCATCCAATCAAGAAGCTCCGTATCCGAGCTCTGCGACGCCGTCGCACTCTCGGGAGCGACATTGACGGCTAAGATGCGAACGCTTCGCCTGTCGCACCGTTGGATGCGAGCACTGCGGTAACCAGTAGTCAAGCGGGGAATGGCATTTTGTAGCCTAGAAGAAGAGGCTAAGCCACGTGTTCCATTGCTAGGCGTAGTGTGAAGCGGCTTCAGCCCAACCGCGTGGCTGCAGCACAACGAGCTTGCTACGACCATGGCGGCTAATCAACCTGGTAATCTCACAAGAATTAGCTAACTGGCTAAGCAATAGAGGAAAAGCCTGAAATCAGTAAGGACTGGCTCAGAAATAGAGGAATTTGGGTCTGTCTGGAAGAGCATCAGGGGGAACGTCCGTATTGGTTCGAAGAGGGTGGTGATTGGTTGGTAACTTATCTGGTTCACTCGTGGACGTATTTGATTCGTTGAGGCACAGATCTCTCGCCTTTGTCTCATAACTTTCTTAGTGCAACTTCTATGATTTTATTACTGTTACTTGCCCCGTAACATTGTAAAATGTTAGCGCTAGACAAAAACACTTCTCAATATTATTTTCTGATTCCAGAATGTTAGCACTCTTCACAGTGTATCGAGTAAACGTTTCCAGCGAGTACTGACATGGATTTGCCCTCTGCAATCGGATTTCGCGAAACTTCTTTCACACGCCTCTCGTTCCAAATAGAGACGGAGCAGCAGGTGTTTTTGGTTTCAGATTTCTCAAAGCATATCGTGGTCGTGCGGGAGAAAAGGGCGGATCCCGCTGCTACTACTAGATTCTGGTGACGTGCGAGCTCGCGGCGAGGGAAATCAGATCTGGTGAGAGAGAGCGGGGAAAGCCGCGCAGTACTTTAGGAGATCTAGTTTCCGATTAGGGTGGGATGATTGAAGGACCTTTCAGCTATCGTTTCGATGACCTTGGTTGAATGGAAATTATTTACGAGAATTCTCAAAAGTGATTTTCATATGACTGTGTTGCACCCTGCGACGCTGTTACACTGTGACGCCATAACCGTGTAACGACTTAACGTCGCCAGTAACCTCTTTTACGTCACTCAGATAACGAACACACGCCGTCTGCGTTTACTCTTGTCACCACGCTCGTTCTGTGCTGCGACAGTCACGCAATCTGCACCCGACACGTCACGTCATTCACCATTTTCGTGCTTCCTCGCTGACTTTTGAGTTGACTCAAAAGTCATTTGAGAAAGAGGGGCCGTGCACCATGTGTCCAACGTGCTGGGTGAGTTTTGAGTCGACTCATAAGTCACCATGCCATCTGCACCCGTCACGTCACGTCACGTCATTCACCATTTTCGTGCTTCCTCGCTCATTTCTCCCTCCTTCCTCTCCTCTCCTCCTCCCTCCTTCCTCGCCTCCTCCCACCAGCAACCATGGCAGTGACGGAGGTGACGTCAGCAGAGGCGTTCGAAGCAGCGGCCAAGGAAGGGGCGCCAGTGGCGGTGCATTTTTGGGCGGCATGGTGCGAGCCGTGCAAGCACATGGATGTTGTTTTTGGGCAACTGGCAGCTGAAAACCCCCACGCCAAATTCCTGAGGGTGAGTGAGTCAGCACTGAGGAAAATGTCATTGCATTTCTGGGCGGCATGGTGCGAGCCGTGCAAGCACATGGAACGGGCAACTGGCAGCTGAAAACCCCCATGCCAAGTTCCTGAGGGTGAGTACAGAAGCAGCATGCCAAGCTGTACAGAGCGTGGTCTAAAGTGAATGAGTCTTTGCGCGGCATGGTGCGAGCCGTGCAAGCACATGGATGTTGTTGTCTTCGGGCAGCTGGCAGACGAAAACCCCCATGCCAAGTTCCTGAGGGTGAGTGAGTACGCACTGAGATGAGAACATCTGATTGCATATCTGCGCGGCATGGTGCGAGCCGTGCAAGCACATGGACGTGGTGTTCTGGCAGCTCGCAGCCGAAAACCCCCACGCCAAATTCCTGAGGGTCAGTGAGCAGTGAGAACAGCTGAATGTCCTTCTGGGGGGCATGGTGCGAGCCGTGCAAGCACATGGACGTGGTGTTCGGGCAGTTGGCAGCAGAGAATCCGCACGCCAAGTTCCTCAGGGTGAGTACGCACTGAGAACAGCTGAATGGGTACAGGGCTTGGCTTGAGCTGAATGCATCTCGGGATGGCATTCTATTGCATCAATCAAGTGGAGGCAGAGGAGGTGCCGGGCCTCTTTTTTGAGAATTCTCAAAAACCAGCTCGGGATGGCATTCTACCAATCAAGTGGCGGCAGAGGAGGTGCCGGCCCTATTTAAGACGTACTACGTGCCGGCTGTACCCTGTTTCCTCCTTGTCCCTCCCCTTTGTATCGTGTGCCATGGTAACGAGGTGACTTTTGAGTCGACTCAAAAGTCACCAAGTGGAGGCAGAGGAGGTGCCGGGCCTCTTTAAGACGTACTACGTGCCGGCTGTACCCTGTTTCCTCCTTGTCCCTCCCCTTTGTCGTCCTTCCCCTTTGTCCTTCCCCTTTGTCCCTCCCCTTTGTCGTCCTTCCCCTTTGTCCTTCCCCTTTGTCCCTCCCCTTTGTCGTCCTTCCCCTTTGTCCCTCCCCTTTGTCCCTCCCCTTTGTCCTTCCCCTTTGTCCTTCCCCTTTGTCCCTCCCCTTTGTCGTCCTTCCCCTTTGTCCCTCCCCTTTGTCCCTCCCCTTTGTCCTTCCCCTTTGTCCTTCCCCTTTGTCCCTCCCCTTTGTCCCTCCCCTTTGTCCCTCCCCTTTGTCCTTCCCCTTTGTCCTTCCCCTTTGTCCTTCCCCTTTGTCCCTCCCCTTTGTCCTTCCCGTTTGTCCTTCCCATTTGTCCTTCCCCTTTGTTCTTCCCCGTTGTGCTTCCCCTTTGTCCTTCCCGCCTACCTTCTCCCCCTCATCCTCCTCACCCTTCTCCCTCCGCCTCTCCCCCCCTATGCACAGGTGGAGGCAGAGGAGGTGCCGGAGCTCTCTGAGACATACTCAGTATCGGCTGTCCCTGTCTTCACCCCCCTTTGCCCCGCCCCCTTTTTCCTTCCCCCTTCCTTGTCCCGCTCCCTCTCCCTTTGTCCCACCATCCCATACTCTCTGCCATGCCAGGTAGAGGCAGAGGAGGTGCCGGAGCTCTCTGAGAAGCACTCAGTATCGGCTGTACCCTTCCTTTGTCCCCCTCATCCTTCCCCTTCACCCTTTCACTTGCTCCCCCCCTCCCGTTATCCCCACACCCCGTTCCATCTATCAGGTGGAGGCAGAGGAGGTACCGGAGAAATACTAAGTATCGGCTGTAGCCTTCTTCGTCTTCCTTGTCCTCCCCCTTGTCCCTTTCTCTTGCTCCTCCAACCCTTTTTATCGATCAGGTGGAGGCAGAGGAGGTACCGGAGGTCTCTGAGAAGTACTCAGTATCGGCTGTACCCTTCTTCACCCCCCTTTTTATTTCCCCCTTGTCCCGTTCCCCCGCCCCTTGACCCACCATCCCATACTCTTTACCAGGTGGAGGCAGAGGAGGTACCGGAGGTCTCAGAGAAGTACTCAGTATCGGCCGTGCCCTTCTTCGTCTTCCTCAAGGTGTGCGTCGTTGCTTCCTTGCTTCCTCCGTAGTACATGTGTCACGTGTCTCAATACTTGAAAAGTACTCAGTATCGGCTGTACCCTTCTACCTCTTCCTCAAGGTGCTCCTTTTCTTCTCCATCCTTTCGTCTTTCATTAAAAGACGCTCTCATAACATCTCCTTTCACATTTGTGCAAGTGTTTCCACATTTTGCCGCACTAAGTGGATGGTCATGAAGAGTATGCATGCATGTATACATGTTTCCGTACATTGATTTCGGATAGGTGGCACGAACCCACTACAGTGAAGATCACAAGATGTAAGCTTAGTATGAGAAGGCACATTGTGTCACCATCTTTTGTAGGCGCCTTAAAGGTCTTCTCATGACACTCTCTATGGAGGACGGTGATACATGAGGTGGGGAGGAGCAAAGACACCGTCTACAAGGTGCCACAGTCCGCCCCCCGAGCTAGCCCCCCGAGCTAGCCCCCCGAGCTAGCCCCCCGAGCTAGCCCCCCGAGCTAGCCTCCCGAGCTAGCCTCCCGAGCTAGCCTCCCGAGCTAGCCTCCCGAGCTAGCCCCCCGAGCTAGCCTCCCGAGCTAGCCCCCCGAGCTAGCCCCCCGAGCTGTGGCATCACCCTGTAGGTGCCAAAGTCCGCCCTTCACCCTCTCTCTCACTCACTCAACCTCTCACTTCCACTTACCTGCGTGCTCGCCACTCGGAGATTGTATTTTCACACGCAATTGGTATTATTATGAGTGGAGGTGCGACGACTTTTCAACCTTTCTTGCAGTCCAGACTCAAAGGCGCCAACCTTCACAGAGCTAGCCCACAAGGTTGCCCTGCCCTACACGTCGGTGCACCCTCGTTCTCCACTAACTTTCCTTTTCCTTCCCCTTCTCTCCTCCCCCCCTCTTCCGGCAGGATGGCAAGGCGGTGGACACACTGGAGGGCGCCAACCCCCCCGAGCTAGCCCACAGCCACAGGGTAGCATAGCACATGGCTCACTCTCCCACAGCCACAGGGTAGCATAGCACATGGCTCACTCTCCCACAGCCACAGGGTAGCATTGCACATGGCTCACTCTCCCACAGCCACAGGGTAGCATTGCACATGGCTCACTCTCCCCCTCCACCCACTTCCCTTGCGTTTCCGGCAGGATGGCAAGGTGGTGGACAGGCTTGTAAGGAGCGAGCAAGCCCCCCCGAGCCAGCACACAAGGTGGCGCTGCACGTCGCTGCACCCGCCCCCTCCACCAACTTTCCTTGACGTTCCTTCCCCCCTTCTTCCCCCCTTCTTCCCCCCTTCTTCCCCCCTTCTTCCCCCCTTCTTCCCCCCTTCTTCCCCTCTCCCTGCAGGATGGCAAGGTGGTGGATAAACTCGAAGGCGCCAACCCCCCCAAGCTAGCACACAAGGTGGCGCTGCACATCACTGCACCCTCCTCTGCCACCAACTTCCATTCGCATCTCCCCTCCATTTCCCTCTCTCTCTCTCTCTTGTCTTGACAGGATGGCAAGGTGGTGGACAGGCTTGAAGGCGCCAACCCCCCCGAGCTAGCACACAAGGTGGCGCTGCACGTCGCTGCACCCTCCTCTGCCACCAACTTCAGTGCGGGCGGCTCTGCTGCTGCTGAAGTCATCAAAATGTGTTTTTCTGTGTCCTCCTGTTCTTCTCTCTCTCTCGTCTTGACAGGATGGCAAGGTGGTGGACAGGCTAGAGGGAGCCAACCCCCCCGAGCTAGCACACAAGGTCGCACTGCACATCGCTGCACCCTCCTCTGCCACCAACTTCAGTGCGGGCGGCTCTGCTGCTGCTGAAGTCATCGAATCCGTTCTCCACTCCGCTCGCACCGCCGCCTACCCTGCTGCTGCTCCTCCTGCTGCCTCTCCTGCTGCTGCGGTTGCTCAGCCGGAGCAACCCTCCCGAATGATCGCCCCGCCCGCAGGTTCGGACAAGCCGAAGCTGTCCCCGGACCTGAAGGCTCGGATCGAGGCTCTCCTGGCCTCCCACCCAGTGCTACTGTTCATGAAAGGCACCCCCAGCGCCCCCAGATGCGGATTCTCCTCTAAGGTTGTATCTGTGCTGGAAAAGGACTTAGGCTCTGCGGCGGCCGGTGCGTATGGGTCGTTTGATATTCTGCAAGATGAGGAGGTTCGGCAGGGTTTGAAGGTGTATAGCGACTGGCCGACTTTCCCGCAGTTGTATTGCAAGGGGGAGCTGGTTGGGGGGTGTGATATTGTGCTGCAGATGCACGAGAGTGGGGAGTTGAAAGAGGTGTTTGCAGAGAAAGGGGTGCTGGGAGGGGCGGGGAAGGGAGATGCACCAGGAGCAGTGACGGCAGCAGCAGCAGCAGCGGCGGATGGGCAGGTTGATGGGGCGAAGGGGTTGCAAGAGCGGCTGAAGGCACTCCTCTCGTCTTCGCCTACCATGCTGTTCATGAAGGTATGTTGGAGTAGAGTGGGTTGGGGCGTATGTGATAATCTGTATCGTCCTGCCTTAGCTAATAAAGATGATTGAAGGCACTCGTCTCGTCTTCGCCTTCCTCTCATCCCTTCCTCTCATCCCTTCCTCTCATCCCTTCCTCTCATCCCTTCCTCTCATCCCTTCCTCTCATCCCTTCCTCTCATCCCTTCCTCTCATCCCGTCCTCTCTGCTGCGTTACCTCTCAGGGAACACCGGAGGAGCCGCGGTGTGGGTTCAGCCGCAAGGTGGTGGATGCAGTCCAGTCAGACATGGACTCATCGCATGTTTCCTTCCTTCTTCCCCATGGCTTGTCCTCACGGCCTTGCCTTGCTTTCCCAGGGCACACCAGAGGAGCCGCGGTGTGGGTTCAGCCGCAAGGTGGTGGATGCACTCACGTCAGAAGGTATTTCCTTTGGCAGTTTTGACATTCTCACGGACGAGGCAGTGCGGCAGGGGCTGAACACATGCCTTTACACCCCCCCAACCCCCCTTCCCCTGCCTTCCTGTGCTATGTACCCATGACCATCCCCATCCCTTGTTATTCAGGGAACACCGCAGGAGCCCCGGTGTGGGTTCAGCCGCAAGGTGGTGGATGCAGTCAAGTCAGACATGGACTCATCGCATGTTTCCCCCCCTCTTCCCCCCTTCTTCCCCCCCTCTTCCCCCCTTCTTCCCCCCCTCTTCCCCCCCTCTTCCCCATGGCTTGTCCTCACGGCCTTGCCTTGCTTTCCCAGGGCACACCTGAGGAGCCGCGGTGTGGGTTCAGCCGCAAGGTGGTGGATGCACTTACGTCAGAAGGCATTTCCTTTGGCAGTTTTGACATTCTCACGGATGAAGCAGTGAGGCAGGGGCTGAAGGAGCTCTCCAATTGGCCCACGTACCCCCAGGTGTACCACAAGGGCGAGCTGATTGGTGGATGCGATATTGTGTTTGAAATGAAGGCTAATGGGGAGCTTAAAGCCGAGCTTGGAGGGTGAAGTTCACTGTACTGTGTAGCTAAATCATTTTCATATACCCGGTAGCACCAAGGTAGAGCTGATTGGCATCTGTTTTTTAACCACAGTAAAAACAATGTGCCCATCTTTTGTGTCACTCGCAGTCCGATATGCCACTTTTTCCTCCAAGCTCCAACAGCAACAGATGCTACTACAGCCTGAAAATCATGCTCCAACAACTTCATTTGTTATCCTGCAGCAATGAATTGGCGCAGACGACTCTCAAGGTCAGGTCAAAAGTCAGCTGGTACGGCCAGTCCTACCATTATGCAAACACTCGTCAGAGACACGACAGCTAGAGTCCTGCGAACCAACGCTCACGTAAAGCACAATGCCTAACACAATCGTCCTAAATACGCTTAGCATGTGAGCGTTGCTTTCAAAAAGTTAACTCCCATGACTGTACCCTCCAGCACAGTTGTCGATCGCATACGGATGCCATGGGTGGGGTAGGGTCTAGGGATGGATGGCAAGTTGGCAATGGCCAATGCCGATCACTCATGTAGGTACGGTAGTGTAGGTGCCACTGCTAGCAGACTTGTGCTCCCATCCCATGAGTGCACCCTTTCATGGGCATGCCAAAACGGCCAATGCCATGCCCGCACTCAGTCGTCCAGGTAGTAGTAGGTGCCGGCATTCTTCTGCTCGCGGTCCTTGACAGAATCCATCTTGTTGATGCGCGGCCGAAAGTTGGTGGGGTCGCGCCGGAACGTGATGTCCAGTTGCTGGGGGGGGGAGGGTGGTGGTGGTTGGGGGTGGGAGGAAACGATGGTTGTGAGGGGCACGGTAGCGAGAAGAGGTGAAAACGGGAGGGAGAAAGGGGTTCCATGAGTGCACCCTACAAGCGCACAGCTCCCTTGGGCATGCCGGAAGAGGTTCATGCCGCTGTTGAGCGACTTGAGGAGTGCAAGCCGTGCAATCCACGGACGGCTGCCCCTCGTAGACAATCACGCGGTCCGCCAGGTACGTGGCCATGATGAAGTCGTGCTCCACCACAAAGGGGGGTTCTCACTCACACAGCAAGCAACAAGGGGTCTCTCACCGAGAGGAAGAGGTTCATGCCGCTGTTGAGCGACTGGGGCGTGCGCGCCGTGCAGTCCACCGACGGCTGCCCCTCGTACACGATGACGCGGTCCGCCAGGTACGTGGCCATGATGAAGTCGTGCTCCACCACAAACGCCGTCTTCTTGGCGTGCAGGATGAAGCGCTTGATCACCTTGGCCGCCACAATGCGCTGCTCTGAATCCAAGTAGGCTGAGGGTTCATCAATCAGGTAGATGTCGGCAGGCTGGGAGGAAAGGGGGTGTGGGGGGTTGGAAGTGGAAGTGGAATGTTAAAGGGAGGGGAGGGATGAACGGCTTGATCACCTTGGCTGCCACGATGCGCTGCTCCGAATCTAGATAGGCCGAGGGCTCGTCTATGAGGTAGATGTCGGCAGGCTGGGAGGAGAGAGAAGAAGGAACGCATGTGCAGGATGAACGGCTTGATGACCTTGACCGTCACGATGCGCTGCTCTTGAGTCGAGATAGGCCGAGGGTTCATCGATCAGATAGATGTCGGCAGGCTGGAGAAAGGAGAAAGTGGAAGAGGGGGAGAAAGGGAAAAAAGGGAAGGATGAACCGCTTGATGACCGTGGCTGCCACAATGCACTGCTCTTGAGTCGAGATAGGCCGATGGATCGTCAATGAGGTAGATGCCACCAAGGCAGAGGGAAATAGCGACGCACCTTCCCAAAGCAGAGGGAAATAGCCACGCACCTTCCCTAGGCAGAGGGAAATAGCCAAGCACCTTCCCAAGGCAGAGGGAAATAGCCACGCACCTTCCCAAGGCAGAGGGAAATAGCCACGCACTTTCCCAAAACAGAGTAATATAGCCACGCACCTTCCCAAGGCAGAGGGGAATAGCCACGCACCTTCCAAGGCAGAGGGAAATAGCCACGCACCTTCCAAGGCAGAGGGAAATAGCCACGCACCTTCCCAAAGCGGAGGGAAATAGCCACGCACCTTCCCAAGGCAGAGGGAAATAGCCACGCACCTTCCCAAGGCAGAGGGAAATAGCCACGCACCTTCCCAAGGCATAGCGAAATAGCCACGCACCTTCCCAAAACAGAGGGAAATAGCGACGCACCTTCCCAAGGCAGAGGGAAATAGCCACGCGCTGCAGCTCTCCTCCTGACAAATTCACCACCTCCTGGTCGAGCAGGGGGTCGATCTGCATGAGACAACTTCTGAGCCGCCCCAAAACCGTCCCAAAACCGCCCCAAAACCACCCCAAAACCGCCCCCAAACCACCCCAAAACCGCCCCAAAACCGCCTCAGACCACCTTAAAATCCCAAGAGGGACTTGATGCACCCCTTCCTTACCTTGCCAAGGCACAGCGTGATGGCCACGCGCTGCAGCTCCCCTCCTGAGATTTTCACCACCTCCTGGTCGAGCAGGGGGTCGATCTGCATGGGGCAACTTCTGAGCCGCCCCAGAACCGCCCCAAACCACCTTGAACCGCCGCAGTCTCCAAGAGAGAGTTGACCAACCCACCCACTCCTTCCTTACCTTTCCCAGACAAAGGGTAATAGCCACGCGCTGCAGCTCCCCACCCGACAAATTCACCACCTCCTGGTCCAGGAGCGGGTCGATCTGCATGGGGCGCAGCACGTCGGTGTTGAACTGTGGGTGGTGGAACGAGTCTCGGATCTTGGAGTGCAGCAGCGCGCGCACGCTGTGGGGGAACTTGGGGGAGATCTTCTGCGGCTTGTACGACACGTTGAACTCCGGGAGGTCCTCGGCCTCCTTGCCGGTCTCCTCGTCCGGGTCAGCCTTTAAGAGACCAGCCTGTAAGGGGTTGAGAAGGACACAGGAGAGCGGAAAGGAGAGGAACGAGAGGGTATGAGAGGGGGAACTTGCGGCTGATCTTCTGCGGCTTGAACGACACGTTGAACTCCGGGAGGTCCTCAGCTTCTTTCCCGGTCTCCTCGTCTGGATCTGCCTTCAAGAGGCCGGCCTGGAGGGGTTCAGAACGAGACAGGAGAGGAGAGGGGAGGAGGGAGGAGAGTAACGCAGAAAACTTGGGGCTGGGCTGGTCTTCTGCCGCCTGTACAACACACTGAAATCCGGGAGATCTTCGGCTTCCTTGCCAGTTGATTCGTCCGGGTCGGCCTTTAACAGACCAGCCTGCGTGATACAAGGGAGAAGGGAGACAAGGCACGGGGGATCGAAGTGGAAAGGGAAGAAAAAGGGACGGAGAATGAGAATGGGAAGGGAAACTTGGGGCTGGGCTGGTCTTCTGCGGCCTGTACGACGCGTTGAACTCGGGAAAACCTTGGGCCTCCTTGCCGGTTTCCTCATCTGGGTCCGGCCTTGAGAGAGCCGCCTGGAAGGGAGAGAGGAGGGATGGAAGATGGATCATGGAAGGGACAGGGAGGAGAGAGAGCCAAAGAGACGTGCAAGCTGGCGATATTGGGAGACGCGGAAACGGGAAGGAAACGGGAATTTAGGAGCCAACGACTAGCCCAACCGGTATGCATATGACACAAGAGTCGGCCTATTAGCTCTTCGGAAGCATGTGGCATGGTGCGGGCACATGCAAGTTGGGCTACCGGCCTACCACCAGCCATGCACAGGTGAGAGAGTTGGCCTACCAGCATGCGGATAAAGGTGGTTTCGCCGGTGCCATTCTCCCCCAGCATCACCACGATCTGCGAGTCTGTGCCTTGCGTCCACTGCCATCCCTACCTATGGTGCACACATGTGCCTACCAGCATGCGCACCCATGAGAGACAGCTTCCCTACCAGCATGCGGATAAAGGTGGTCTTGCCGGTGCCGTTCTCCCCCAGCATCACCACGATCTGTGAGTCCGTGAAGTCACCAGGTTCCACCGTCAGCTTGAATCCGCCCTGCTTCTTGACCATGCGCGGGTACTTGTAGCGCGTGTACGTCTTGGCCTCTTCAGGGTTATCGACTGGGGTTTCAGCAACCTGAGATGGAATGGAGAGGGGGGGAGGGGAAGGAGGGGCTTGAACCCGCCCTGCTTCTTGACCATGCGCGGGTACTTGTAGCGCGTGTACGTCTTGGCTTCTTCAGGATTATCCACCGGGGTTTCAGCCACCTGATGGGAGCAATGATGGGTTGAGATGGGTCAGAAATAAGGGTAATTTAGCTGCAAAGCTTGAACCCGCCCTGCTTCTTGATCATGCGCGGGTACTTGTACCGCGTGTACGTCTTGGCCTCTTCAGGATTATCCACCGGGGTTTCAGCCACCTGAGATGGAATGAAGGGGGGTGAAAGAATGGAGTGAGGGAGGGGAAGGAGGAGGTTGAACCCGCCGTGCTTCTTGATCATGCCCAAATACCTGTACCGAACCGACTGTACGTCTTGGCCTCCCTCCTCAGGATTATCCACCGGGGTTTTCGTCCCCTGATGAGAGGGGGAAAGGAGAAGAGGCACGGGCGGAGGAGAGGGAGTGGAGGGGAGGAAAGGAGTGCTTTGAGGAACCTGAGACAGCACACAGAGAGCTTCAACACGCCCTGCTTCTTGATCATGCGTGGGTACTTGTACCAAGTATATGTCTTGGCCTCGTCCGTTTCTTCCAACTCTGAAAATGAATGAGCTTTTCCTCTCAAAAATGTGGGTCTGACTTCTGAGTCGACTTTTGTGTCTTAAGTCGGCTCAAAAGATGAAAAAAAAATATGCTCATGCCCTATCTAACGAAGTTGGAAACTGAGGCAAGGAAGAAACATCCATTCACAAAGAGGAGCGACAGACAAGCAGACCCACACGGAAGGTGAGCGACTCGTCTTGAAAACGCAGGTTTCCAGCTGGTATGAAGCCGGCAAGAAAGATGTTCATTCCCTCGAGCACAGAGAAACACAAAATTCCCCTCTTTCAAGTCAACACCTAAAGCAGACTCACCCTGAAGGTGAGCGGCTCGTCTCGGAAGCGCAGGTTCTCGGTCAGAACAAAGCCGGCAAGGAAGATGTTGATGCCCCCTCGCACTGCTGATTGAATTCTAAAGGTGTGCCTGCAATATGAAAATTTTGATGTCCCGACGGACACGGTGACACCCTCACGGCAGACTCACCCTGAATGTGAGCGACTCGTCTCGGAAGCGCAGGTTCTCGGTTGGCACGAAGCCAGCCAGGAAGATGTTGATGCCCTCTCGCACGGAGAAGGGCAGCGTGACCACCCCGTAGGCACCGGGCTTGCCGTAGAGGCAGCAGATGAAGTCCGAGAGATAGTCAAGCACACTGAGATCGTGCTCCACCACAATGACGTATCTGGGGGGGGATGGGGATGATGGAATGGGGAGTGAGTGGGCAGGGCAGTGGGTGCATGGGGTGATAGCGCAGAAAAACCGCCCTGTATGCCCCTGGCTTGCCGTAGAGGCAGCACATGAAGTGGGAGAGATAGTCGAGCACACTCAGGTCACGCTCCACCACAATCACGTATCTGGAACGGTGGGGGATGCATGGAGGAATGGGGGAATGAAAGGGAGCAAGGGAAAGGGCAGTGGTGTAACAATATCGTACCACTGGTTTCATATTCCTATTCGATGTTCAAGTATTTTAGCACTAATGGATTTGGTTCAACTAGCTTGTTATTCGGTTACATATTGACTCCCTTCGAGGGGTTCAAGAACTTACTAAGGGAGTCAATATGTAACCGAATGACCAGCTATTTGAATCAAATCCAACAGTGTTTAAATACTTGAACATTGAATAGGAATATGAAACAAATGACCAGCTATGACCAGCTATTTGAATCCCTCTTTCCCTTGCTCTATCCACCAACCATTGATCGCACCTGTTCGGACCACTGACCATACCTGTCGGGGCGCAGCAGCGAGCGGATGACCTGCGCTGCCTTCAATCGCTGCCGCACGTCCAGGTAGCTGGAAGGCTCATCAAACATGTAGATGTCTCCCAGCTGCCCCGCCACCACTCCAATGGCAAACCGCTGCAGCTCGCCTCCTGACAGATGCTCCACCTCACGCTCCCACACCTGAAAGGAGTGGTGAATCGGGATGAGGATAGGTGATTAGGTGGGGAAGAGGAGAGGGCTCATCGAACATGTAGATGTCTGTCTCCCAGCTGCACCCCCACCACTCCAATGGCAAAGCGCTGCAGCTCTCCTCCGGACACGTGCTCCACCTCACGCTCCCACACCTGGACGAGGGAAGGGGAAAAAGGAGGAAGGCGAAGAGGAAGGAATTAGACGGGGGAAGTGCAACCAGATGGGGGTGTGCAAGACTAGCTCGTTGGCCCTCATGGCAAACCGATCAATGTTTTTCCCCCTACCGCCTCTTTCTGCACCCTTCTCTGTGAGCACCACACCCACCACCCCCTTCACCGAAGAGCAAACAAGGGGTACTATAACGCAGAGCGTGGACAATAAAGAGAGTGACAATAGCGAGAGGGGAGATGAAACCCCCCCATGACCCCCCCCAAGGCCCCCCTAAGGCCCCCCTACCCCCCAATCCTCCTCACAGCCCCCCACCCCGCCCCCCAAAATCCCTGGCATGGGCATGGTCCCCCCCCCCCCCCCCCCCCCCCCCCCCATCCTTGGCATGGGCATGGTCCCCCCCTATCCCTACAGTAACCGGGCGGCAGCAACAGTAACCGGGTGGCAGCAACAGTAACCGGGTGGCAGCAACAGTAACCGGGCGCGGCAGCAACAGTGTCTGGGCGGCAGCAACAGTGTCTGGGCGGCAACAACAGTGTCTGGGCGGCAGCAACAGTGTCTGGGCGGCAGCAACAGTGTCTGGGCGGCAGCAACAGTGATGGGGCGGCAGCAACAGTGTCTGGGCGGCAGCAACAGTGTCTGGGCGGCAGCAACAGTGTCTGGGCGGCAACAACAGTGTCTGGGCGGCAACAACAGTGTCTGGGCGGCACCAACAGTGTCTGGGCGGCACCAACAGTGTCTGGGCGGCACCAACAGTGTCTGGGCGGCAGCAACAGTGTCTGGATGGCAGCAACAGTGTCTGGATGGCAGCAACAGTACCTGGGCGGCAGCAACAGTACCTGGGCGGCAGCAACAGTACCTGGGCGGCAGCAACAGTGTATGGACGGAATCAACAGTGTCTGGGGAGCATCAACAGCATCTGGGCGGTAGCAACAGTGTCTGGGCGGCAGCAACAGTAAGGGGGCGGCTGGAACAGTAACCGGGCGGCAGGCTGCTGGAACAGGGGCCAGGCTGAAACCCCGTGGGCCCGAGCTCCCCACCCCAGGCCCGGCCAAACCAGACCAGGCCAGGGCATGGCTATATAGTAGGCATGCCCATACATACAAGCACACATATCAAGTCCTACAATCCTAGCTACACAGACAGATTCTACCACTGAAATTAGTTAAGCAGTTATCATGCGTGCTAGAACATCATAAGCGTAATAAATGAAGGCATGGCAAGGCTATAGGTTTGTGGCATGAGCAGGGTGTGGTTTGAACGCACGTGCAGAGAGTGAAAGCATGTGGAGGAGGGACGGCAAGGGAGGGGGGGGGGGGGGAGAGATGCCACGAGTGAGGAGTGGCAGCTTCTCACCTGGCTGGCTGTTTTGGGCAATGAGTGAGTGGGGGGAGGGAGCATAGCAAGTGAGTGCGGGGAGCATGGCGAGCAAGCGGGGATGGCAGAGGGGTGAACAGAGGGAACAGAGGGAACAAAAGGTGGGTGAACAGTGGGGAAAAAACCGTGGTGTGAACAACGGGGGACGGAGAAACAGTGGTGTGAACATTTCGGGACGGGGAAACAATGGCGTGAACAGTGGGGGACGGGGAAACAATGGCATGAACAGTGGGGGACGGGGAAACGGTGGTGTGAAAAGTGGGTGAACAGTAAAGGTGAGTGCAGGGGAGCAGAGGTGAGTGCAGGGGAGCAGAGGTGAGTGCAGGGGAGCAGAGGTGAGTGCAGGGGAGCAGAGGTGAGCGCAGGGGAGCAGAGGTGAGCGCAGGGGAGCAGAGGTGAGCGCAGGGGAGCAGAGGTGAGCGCAGGGGAGCAGAGGTGAGCGCAGGGGAGCAGAGGTGACCGCAGGGGAGCAGAGGTGAGCGCAGGGGAGCAGAGATGAGTGCAGGGGAGCAGAGGTGAGCGCAGGGGAGCAGAGGTGAGCGCAGGGGAGCAGAGGTGAGCGCAGGGGAGCAGAGGTGAGCGCAGGGGAGCAGAGGTGAGCGCAGGGGAGCAGAGGTGAGCGCAGGGGAGCAGAGGTGAGCGCAGGGGAGCAGAGATGAGTGCTGGGGAGCAGTGGGGAAAGGTGAATAAAGGGGAGCGGTGGTGGGGGAAGGTGAAGAGTGGTGATAAGTGGGGGGGGATGGTGAGTGTGGGGAGCAGAGGTGGTGAGTGTGGAGGCAATCTCCCTCGCCTCCCTCCCTCTCACCACGCAACGCAACGCAAGCAACGTACCTTGCGCACTGCAACGCAACGCAAGCAACGTACCTTGCGCACTGCAACGCAACGCAAGCAGCGTACCTTGCGCACTGCACTGGCCGAGCCTCATCCAGACCAGAGCCGAGCCGAACCTCGTCCGACGTCGAGGCCAAGTCCGGCAGACCTCAGCCACCTCTGGGGTGGGAGGGTGGAGGGTGAGAGAGGCGGTGATTGGGGGGGAAGAGGAGGCGAGGGGGGATTAAGGAGGTCAGGGGGGGAGGGCATAACGAGTGCACATCTCAAGCGCTTTTACGAGGTGAGTACGTACGGGGGACAGGGGAGGGTGAGAAGAGGGGTGGACAGGAGGTGAGAAGAGAGGACGAGAGGAGGTGAGTACGGGGGACGGACGAGGCGAGGAGAGGGCAGTACAGGAGGTAACGACGCCTCGTTAAACAGTGGGGGGGGGGGGGGGGGGGGGGGGATGCCACGAGTGAGGAGTGGCAGCTTCTCACCTGGCTGGATGTTTCGGGCAATGAGTGAGTGGGGGGAGGGAGCATAGCAAGTGAGTGCGGGGAGCATGGCGAGCAAGCGGGGATGGCAGAGGGGTGAACAGAGGGAACAGAGGGAACAAAAGGTGGGTGAACAGTGGGGAAAAAACCGTGGTGTGAACAACGGGGGACGGAGAAACAGTGGTGTGAACATTTGGGGACGGGGAAACAATGGCGTGAACAGTGGGGGACGGGGAAACAATGGCGTGAACAGTGGGGGACGGGGAAACGGTGGTGTGAAAAGTGGGTGAACAGTAAAGGTGAGTGCAGGGGAGCAGAGGTGAGTGCAGGGGAGCAGAGGTGAGTGCAGGGGAGCAGAGGTGAGCGCAGGGGAGCAGAGGTGAGCGCAGGGGAGCAGAGGTGAGCGCAGGGGAGCAGAGGTGAGCGCAGGGGAGCAGAGGTGAGCGCAGGGGAGCAGAGATGAGTGCTGGGGAGCAGTGGGGAAAGGTGAATAAAGGGGAGCGGTGGTGGGGGAAGGTGAAGAGTGGTGATAAGTGGGGGGGGATGGTGAGTGTGGGGAGCAGAGGTGGTGAGTGTGGAGGCAATCTCCCTCGCCTCCCTCCCTCTCACCACGCAACGCAACGCAAGCAACGTACCTTGCGCACTGCAACGCAACGCAAGCAACGTACCTTGCGCACTGCACTGGCCGAGCCTCATCCAGACCAGAGCCGAGCCGAACCTCGTCCGACGTCGAGGCCAAGTCCGGCAGACCTCAGCCACCTCTGGGGTGGGAGGGTGGAGGGTGAGAGAGGCGGTGATTGGGGGGGGGAAGAGGAGGCGAGGGGGGATTAAGGAGGTCAGGGGGGGAGGGCATAACGAGGGCACAAAACAAGCGCGTTTAGGAGGTGAGTACGGGGGACAGGGGAGGTGAGAAGAGAGGACGAGAGGAGATGAGTACGGGGGGACGGACGAGGTGAGGAGAGGGGAGTACAGGAGGTGATGACGCCTCGTCATGGTCTCACCTCGTGCCTCTCTCCTCGCCGCGCCGTTGCCCACCTGCCCCGCCACGTGGCCATCCGTGATTGGCTGAGAGGCGGGCGGCGGCGCCACGGTCATACGTTCTTCGTACAACTGGAGGGGGGGGATGGGGAAGAGGGGCACGGAGCTTGGGGGGGCAACTGGAGGGGGGTTCCACCAGCGCGCGACGCGCCGTTCTCCGCAGGGTTAAGGTTGACCGCGGGAAACGGCGGGAAACCGGCAGAAAAGGGCGGGAATCAGGAAAGAAGCAACACGCCGCGCCTGCAGCGCGGAACGCGCACATTGCGCCACATGCAGCGCGGAACGAGCACATTGCGCCGCCTGCAGCGCGGAACGCGCACATCGCCCCGCCTGCAGCGCGGAACGTGCACATTGCGCCGCCTGCAGCGCGGAACGAGCACATCGCGCCGCCTGCAGCGCGGAACGAGCATATCGCCCCGCCTGCAGCGCGGAACAAGCACATTGCCCCGCCTGCAGCGCGGAACAAGCACATCTCCCCGCCTGCAGCGCGGAACGCGCACATCGCCCCGCCTGCAGCACGGAACGAGCACATCGCCCCGCCTGCAGCGCGGAACGCGCACATCGCCCCGCCTGCAGCGCGGAACGCGCACATCGCCCCGCCTGCAGCGCGGAACGCGCACATCGCCCCGCCTGCAGCGCGGAACGCGCACATTGCGCCGCCTGCAGCGCGGAACGCGCACATCGCCCCGCCTGCAGCGCGGAACGAGCACATTGCGCCGCCTGCAGCGCGGAACGAGCAGGAAACGGAGGGGATCAAGTTGACCGAGGAAGACGGCGGGAAACGGCGGGAAGGAAAACCATGGGAAACCATGGGCAAGAGCGGGAAGCGGCGGGAAAAGGCTGGAAAAGAAGGGAATCAGCGCGGAAAGGGCACTAAGCCGTGCATGGGGCGCGGAGAAAAGGCAACTCGCCACGCCTGCAGCGAGGAAATGCACTTCGCCGTGCCTGCAGCGCTGAAAAAAGCAACTCGCCGCGCCTGCAGCGCGGAAGACGCACTTGGCCACGCCTCTCAGCTGGCAGTGCCGAGCCTCTCACCAGGCAGTGCCGAGCCTCTCATGGCGCGCGATCCGCCGCCTACCACGTGGCGCGCGATCCGCCGCCTGGTGATGCCGCTGCCTGGTGGGAGAGGTAGGTAAGTGGGAGAGGTAAGTGCTGATCTGATAGGAACATTTGCCGTCAAATATAAAACAAAGAAAGAAGAACAACATAACAGAAATGATAGGACGAGCAAAGCTGAACACAAAAGGAGGCAGTGAAGCAGGAAGCACCCGCTACGAGTTAAGAAGTCCAAGGCGCCTGGTGAGAGTGTTGAGCGGGAAACGGCGGGAAAAGGCAGGAGGCAGAACATGGAGAGGAGAGGAAGGGCCGGGGAAGAGGGAAACTTTAGCTAAAAATATAATCTCACCGTGTTAATATAAATATAAATCGCATCTAAACAACCGGAGCATCTGCTGGAACGCGGAATAACTCTCACGGGGGCCTAAGCTGCTGCGCCCACCATTCCGTCAGCGGCGCGACATCGGCCATCTGCTGCCGCGGCGCGCCATTCCGCCATCTGCTGCGCGCGCCAATTCGCCTGCTGCTGCGCGCGCCATTCTCCCTGCTGCTGAACGATTTATGACTAAGAGAAACAAAAATAAAAATGCTAAGAGAATGCTACTAAGAGCATTTAGAGGAATGACTATAGAACGCTACTACTAGTGAAACCGTCCAGTGAGAGCGACGCTGGGAGAAGAAGAGCAGTCGAGAGAAAGAGGAGGAGGTTAACAATGGGAGAGTTGAAGCGTTGAAAAACATCTGCTGCTGCGGTGAGAGAAGAAACGCGTCTTTGCACTACAGGACAATATCACGACCGTTCGACGGTGAGGTCCAACCGAGCCACCTCGCGCGCACGCGCTTTCGCTCCGCGCAGCGACCCGTGTGACATGACATCGCATGCTGCAGATTTAACGGACATCTAACGCTATATCTGCAAATGAGAAAAAGCGCGGGGCGAATAAACGAAAGCACCGCGCAGGGAGCAGCGCGAGGCGCGCATGACGACGACAATTTAACGGGCGCGAAGCGTGCAAGGCGCGCGAACAAACACTGGACTGAGACCTTACTAATGCGAATGACACGGCAGCGGATTAGGTGGTTGTGAGCTAACTGAGAAGGGCGAGGCGAGGAATGCGAGAGAATCGAGTTTGGTGCGGAGAGGAGAGGTGGATGAGATTGAAACCCACCCTCCCACAAAATGTTTTGTAACAAGGAGGGCAGAGAGAAACAAAAGGGAAAGCTAACTCCACACCCTAATCTGGAAATGGAAGAGAGTCAACTGAGTGGATCCAATTTACACGTACAAATGTACGGGCGGAATAAAAAAACGAAAAAAAAAATGTTGTAAGACGATGCGCGTCACATTCGCCACTCACAGCACAAACGGATGTTCCTATCTGATTGTTACTGTGGTTTGAGGCGCGAGTCGACTTGCAGCCTCCGCAGTTGTGCAGCTACACCTCCAGAGTACTAAGTAATATCTCCTACATGAACATGTTCGCACTTATCAAGTACATTTGAAAAAACAAAAAGGCATTGGCTCATAATAAGGAAATGTTTACAAGATAAGGTTTATAACATATGCACATGGGCTAATTAAATGGATATTATAGGGCCGTATTATTTTCTTTCCTCGTTGAAGCGAAGCGTCTCCATATGTCGTTATAAAACGAACTAACGTCACGGGCAACAAAAAAGGTGCGCGTAATTACTTCAAATATAAGGACGACGATGACAAGTACGGGAACAACAACGAGGACGCGGAGGAGGAGGAGGAGGAGGAGGAGGAGGAGGAGGAGGAGGAGGAGGAGGAGGAGGAGGAGGAGGAGGAGGAGGAGGAGGAGGAGGAGGAGGAGGAGGAGGATTCGGAGGAGGAGGAGCAGGAGCAGGAGCGGGAGTAGGTGCAGGAGGAGGAGCAGGAGGAGGGGAGGAGGAGGAAACATCAGTGGGAGTACTAGCGGCAAACGGCAGCAGTGCGCAATAGCCTTACCATCAAGCAGCACTAGGAAACGCTAGCGGCGAACAGTAGCTGTGCGCAACAGCCTCACCATTGAGCAGCAACATAAAATGTTCAGCAGAAGTATGAAACACCACCACGAGCACAAACAACGAACGGTAGTAGTGAGCATCCGCCTCACCATCGAGCAGCAATGGAAAATGTTCAATAGCAGTAGGAAACAACAAGAGTACCACAAGCTTGAACGGTAGTTTTGAGAATCTGGCTTGCAATTGAGCAGCAACAGGAAATGTTCAACAGTAGTAGGAAAAAACAGCACGAGCAAAAGAAGAGAACGATAGTAGTGAGCATCCGCCTCACCATCGAGCAGCAGCTGAAAATGCAGTAGTAGTGAGCATTCGCCTCACCATCGAGTAGCATCACCATCGAGCAGCAACAGAACAGGGGTGACAACGACCAGGAGGGCGACGACAACGAGGAGGAGGAGGACAAGGAGGAGGAGGAGGAGGAGGAGGAGGAGGAGGAGGAGGAGGAGGAGGAGGAGGAGGAGGAGGAGGAGGAGGAGGAGGAGGAGGAGGAAGACGACGAGGACCAGGACGAAGAGCAGGAGCAGGAGCAGGGGCAGGAGGAGGAGGAGGAGGAGGAGGAGGAGGAGGAGGAGGAGGAGGAGGAGGAGGAGGAGGAGGAGGAGGAGGAGGAGGAGGAGGAGGAGGAGGAGGAGGACAAGGAGCAGGAGGAGGAGGAGGAGGAGGAGGAGGAGGAGGAGGAGGAGGAGGAGGAGGAGGAGGAGGACAAGGAGGAGGACGAGGAGGAGGAGGAGGGCGACGAGAAAGAAGACGACAACGATGAGGTGGAGGAAGACGAGGAGGAGGAGGAGAACGAGGAGGAGGAGGAAGACGAGGAGGAGGAGGAGGAGGAGGAGGAGGAGGAGGAGGAGGAGGAGGAGGAGGAGGAGGAGGAGGAGGAGGAGGAGGAGGAGGAGGAGGAGGAGGAGGAGGAGGAGGAGGAGGAGGAGGAGGAGGAGGAGGAGGAGGAGGAGGAGGAGGAGGAGGAGGAGGAGAACGAGGAGGACGAGGAGGAGGAGGAGAAGGAGGAGTAGGAGGAGGAAGACGAGAAGGAGGAGGAGGAAGAGGAGGAGGAGGAGGAGGAGGAGGAGGAGGAGGAGGAGGAGGAGGAGGAGGAGGAGGAGGAGGAGGAGGAGGAAACACCAGTATGAGCACAAACAGCAAACAGTTGTACTTAGCATCCGCCTCACAATCGAGCAGCAACAAAAAATACTCAGCAGCAGTATGAAACACCATCACGAGCACAAGCAGCAAACGGTAGTAGTGAGCATCCGCCTCACCATCAAGCAACAACAGATAATATCCAGCAGTAGTAGGAAACACCAGCACGAGCACAAGCAGCGAACTGTAGTAGTGAGAAACCACCTCACCATCGAGCAGCAACTGAAGATGTTCAGCAGCCGTAGGAAACACCAGCACGAGCACAAGTAGCGAAAGGTAGTAGTCAGCATCCGCCTCACCATCGAGAAGCAACGGAAAATGTTCAGCAGCAGTAGAAAACACCAGCACGAACACAAGCAGCGAACGATAGTAGTGAGCATCCGCCTCACCATCGAGCACCAGCTGAAAATGCAGTAGTAGTGAGCATTCGCCTCACCATCGAGCAGCAACGGAAAATGCTAAACAGCACTAGGAAACACCAGCACGAGCAGAAGTAGCGAAGGGCAGTAGTGAGCATTCGCCTCACCATCGAGCAGCAACGGAAAATGCTCAGCAGCACTAGGATACACCAGCACGAGCACAAGGAGCGAACGGCAACAGTGAGCATTCGCCTCACCATCGAGCAGCAATATAAAATGTTCAGCAGTGATAAGAAGCAACCGGACCAGCACAAGCAGCGAATGGTAGTAGTGAGCATCTGCCTCGCCATCGAGTAGCAACAGAACAGGTGTGACAAGGATGGTGAAGGTGACAACGACGAGGAGGAAGAGGGCAGGGAGGAGGAAGACGACGACGAGGAGGACCAGGACGAGGAGCTGGAGCAGGAGCAGGAGCAGGAGCAGGAGCAGGAGGAGAAGGAGGAAGAGGAGGAGGAAGAGGAGGAGGAGGAGGAGGAGGAGGAGGAGGAGGAGGAGGAGGAGGAGGAGGAGGAGGAGGAAAAGGAGGAGGAGGAGGAGGAGGAGGAAGAGGAGGAGGAGGACGAGGATGAGGAGGAAGACGAGGAGGAGGAGGAGGAGGAGTAGGAGTAGGAGGAGGAGGAGGAGGAGGAGGAGGAGGAGGAGGAGGAGGAGGAGGAGGAGGAGGAGGAGGAGGAGGAGGAGGAGGAGGAGGAGGAGGAGGAGGGCGACGAGAAAGAAGTCGACGACGATGAGGTGGAGGAAGACGAGGAGGAGGAGGAGAACGAGGAGTAGGAGGAGGAAGACGAGAAGGAGGAGGAGGAAGAGGAGGAGGAGGAGGAGGAGGAGGAGGAGGAGGAGGAGGAGGAGGAGGAGGAGGAGGAGGAGGAGGAGGAAACACCAGTATGAGCACAAACAGCAAACAGTTGTACTTAGCATCCGCCTCACAATCGAGCAGCAACAGAAAATACTCAGCAGCAGTATGAAACACCAGCACGAGTACAAGCAGCGAACTGTAGTAGTGAGAAACCACCTCACCATCGAGCAGCAACTGAAGATGTTCAACAGCCGTAGGAAACACCAGCACGAGCACAAGCAGCGAAAGGTAGTAGTCAGCATCCGCCTCACCATCGAGAAGCAACGGAAAATGTTCAGCAGCAGTAGAAAACACCAGCACGAAAACAAGCAGCGAACGATAGTAGTGAGCATCCGCCTCACCATCGAGCAGCATCTGAAAATGCAGTAGTAGTGAGCATTCGCCTCACCATCGAGAAGCAACGGAAAATGCTAAACAGCACTAGGAAACACCAGCACGAGCAGAAGTAGCGAAGGGCAGTAGTGAGCATTCGCCTCACCATCGAGCAGCAACGGAAAATGCTCAGCAGCACTAGGATACACCAGCACGAGCACAAGGACGCGAACGGCAACAGTGAGCATTCGCCTCACCATCGAGCAGCAATATAAAATGTTCAGCATCGATAAGAAGCAACCGGACCAGCACAAGCAGCGAATGGTAGTAGTGAGCATCTGCCTCGCCATCGAGCAGCAACAGAACAGGTGTGACAAGGACGGGGAAGGCGACGACGACGAGGAGGAAGAGGGCAGGGAGGAGGAAGACGACGACGAGGAGGACCAGGACGAGGAGCTGGAGCAGGAGCAGGAGCAGGAGGAGAAGGAGGAAGAGGAGGAGGAAGAGGAGGAGGAGGAGGAGGAGGAGGAGGAGGAGGAGGAGGAGGAGGAGGAGGAGGAGGAGGAGGAAAAGGAGGAGGAGGAGGAGGAGGAGGAAGAGGAGGAGGAGGACGAGGATGAGGAGGAAGACGACGAGGAGGAGGAGGAGGAGGAGGAGTAGGAGTAGGAGGAGAAGGAGGAGGAGGAGGAGGAGGAGGAGGAGGAGGAGGAGGAGGAGGAGGAGGAGGAGGAGGAGGAGGAGGAGGAGGAGGAGGACCACGACGACGACGACGACCATGACGACAACGACGAGGAGGAGAAGGACGAGGAGGACTAGGAGGATGAGGAGGAGGAGGAGGAGGAGGAGGAGGAGGAGGAGGAGGAGGAGGAGGAGGAGGAGGAGGAGGAGGAGGAGGAGGAGGAGGAGGAGGAGGAGGAGGAGGAGGAAACACCAGCATGAGCACAAGCAGCAAATAGTAGTACTGAGCATCCGCCTCACAATCGAGAAGCAACAGAAAACACTCAGCAACAGTAGGAAGCACCAGTACAAGCACAAGCAGCGAACGGTAGTAGTGAGTAGTCGCTTCACCATCGAGGAGCAACAGGAAATACTTAGTAGCAGTAGGCAACACTAGCACGAGCACAAGCAGCGGACGGTAGTAGTGAACATCCGCCTCACCATCAAGCAGCAACAGAAAGTATTCAGCAGCAGTAGGAAACACCAGCACGAGCACAAGCAGTGAACAGTAGTAGTGTGCATTCGCCTCACCATCGAGCAACAATATAAAATATCCAGCAGTAGTGGAAACACCATCACGAGCACAAGCAGCAAACGGTAGTAGTGAGCATCCGCCTCACCATCAAGCAACAACAGATAATATCCAGCAGCAGTAGGAAACACCAGCACGAGCACAAGCAGCGAACTGTAATAGTGAGAATCCGCCTCACCATCGAGCAGCAACTGAAGATGTTCAGCAGCCGTAGGAAACACCAGCACGAGCACAAGCAGCGAAAGGTAGTAGTCAGCATCCGCCTCACCATCGAGAAGCAACGGAAAATGTTCAGCAGCAGTAGAAAACACCAGCACGAACACAAGCAGCGAAAGATAGTAGTGAGCATCCGCCTAACCATCGAGCAGCAGCTGAAAATGCAGTAGTAGTGAGCATTCGCCTCACCATCGAGCAGCAACGGAAAATGCTAAATAGCACTAGGAAACACCAGCACGAGCAGAAGTAGCGAACAACAGTAGTGAGCATTCGCCTCACCATCGAGCAGCAACGGAAAATGCTCAGCAGCACTAGGATACACCAGCACGAGCACAAGGATGCGAACGGCAGCAGTGAGTATTCGCCTCACCATCGAGCAGCAATATAAAATGTTCAGCAGCGATAAGAAGCAACCGGACCAGCACAAGCAGCGAATGGTAGTAGTGAGCATCTGCCTCGCCATCGAGCAGCAACAGAACAGGTGTGACAAGGACGGGGAAGGCGACGACGACGAGGAGGAGGAGGGCAGGGAGGAGGAAGACGACGACGACGAGGACCAGGACGAGGAGCAGGAGCAGGAGCAGGAGCAGGAGCAGGAGCAGGAGGAGAAGGAGGAAGAGGAGGAGGAAGAGGAGGAGGAGGAGGAGGAGGAGGAGGAGGAGGAGGAGGAGGAGGAGGAGGAGGAGGAAAAGGAGGAGGAGGAGGAGGAAGAGGAGGAGGAGGAGAGAACGAGGATGAGGAGGAAGACGAGGAGGAGGAGGAGGAGGAGGAGGAGGAGGAGGAGGAGGAGGAGGAGGAGGAGGAAAAGGAGGAGGAGGAGGAGGAGGAGGAGGAGGAGGAGGAGGAGGAGGAGGAGGAGGAGGAGGAGGAGGAGGAGGACCATGACGACGACGAGGAGGAGAAAGACGAGGAGGACGAGGAGGAAGAGGAGGAGGAGGAGGAGGAGGAGGAGGAGGAGGAGGAGGAGGAGGAGGAGGAGGAGGAGGAGGAGGAGGAGGAGGAGGAAGAGGAGGAGGAGGAGGAGGAGGAAAAGGAGGAGGAGGAGGAGGAACTGTACTGTATGGTTTGTCCACTCGCTCAGTTTTTGTTGGCAGAGTGGTTCGGAGCAGCAGTGTGTGGTGCTGGGCCGTTGTGTGTGGTCATTGGTGGTGTTGAGTGCCCGTGAGTGGTGACGAGCGGTGACGAGTGGTGATGAACGGTGTAGTCTGTCTACGGTGTGACGTTGATGTCCGTCTCCCGCCTCTCGACTACTGCAAACAAGGATGCCTTGAGCATCATGGAAACGGTTGTGAGGACTGTACAACACTGGTGGTTGTGCTTGTCTAGTGATTCTTAACCATTTGTGTCATCCCAACGATCAAGATAGGTTCAACGTGTTTCATTTCTTCGCATAGCATCCTCTTGTATCACTTTACCGTACATTGTGCAAAAATTCTGGAGACAAAGCATTCTGAACTTCAGCAGCAGCACAAACAATGACATCGGCAGCAACAGCAGGGCAGCAGTAGCAAGCAGCAACAGCAGAGCAGCAGCAAGCAGTGACGGCAGCAGCAGTAGCAAGCAGTGACGGCAGCAGCAGGAGCAAGCAAGCATTGACAGCAGCAGCAGGAGCAAGCAAGCAGTGACTGCAGCAGCAGGAGTAAGCAAGCAGTGACGGCAGCAGCAGGAGTAAGCAAGCAGTGACGGCAGCAGCAGGAGTAAGCAAGCAGTGACGGCAGCAGCAGGAGCAAGCAAGCAGTGTCGGCAGCAGCAGTAGCAAGCAAGCAGTGACGGCAGTAGCAGGAGCAAGCTAGCAGGGTTTAAAGGTGTATAGCGACTGGCCGACTTTCCCGCAGTTGTATTGCAAGGGGGAGCTGGTTGGGGGGTGTGATATTGTGCTGCAGATGCACGAGAGTGGGGAGTTGAAAGAGGTGTTTGCAGAGAAAGGGGTGCTGGGAGGGGCGGGGAAGGGAGATGCACCAGGAGCAGTGACGGCAGCAGCAGCAGCAGCAGCGGCGGATGGGCAGGTTGATGGGGCGAAGGGGTTGCAAGAGCGGCTGAAGGCACTCCTCTCGTCTTCGCCTACCATGCTGTTCATGAAGGTATGTTGGAGTAGAGTGGGTTGGGGCGTATGTGATAATCTGTATCGTCCTGCCTTAGCTAATTAAGATGATTGAAGGCACTCGTCTCGTCGTCGCCTTCCTCTCATCCCTTCCTCTCATCCCTTCCTCTCATCCCTTCCTCTCATCCCTTCCTCTCATCCCGTCCTCTCTGCTGCGTTACCTCTCAGGGAACACCGGAGGAGCCGCGGTGTGGGTTCAGCCGCAAGGTGGTTGATGCACTCCAGTCAGACATGGACTCATCGCATGTTTCCTTCCTTCTTCCCCATGGCTTGTCCTCACGGCCTTGCCTTGCTTTCCCAGGGCACACCCGAGGAGCCGCGGTGTGGGTTCAGCCGCAAGGTGGTGGATGCACTCACGTCAGAAGGTATTTCCTTTGGCAGTTTTGACATTCTCACGGATGAAGCAGTGAGGCAGGGGCTGAAGGAGCTCTCCAATTGGCCCACGTACCCCCAGGTGTACCACAAGGGCGAGCTGATTGGTGGATGCGATATTGTGCTTGAAATGAAGGCTAATGGGGAGCTTAAAGCCGAGCTTGGAGGGTGAAGTTCACTGTACTGTGTAGCTAAATCATTTTCATATACCCGGTAGTACCAAGGTAGAGCTGATTGGCATCTGTTTTTGAACCAGAGTAAAAACAATGTGCCCATCTTTTGTGTCACTCTTAGTCCGATATGCCACTTTTTCCTCCAAGCTCCAACAGCAACAGATGCTACTACAGCCTGAAAATCATGCTCCAACAGCTTCATTTTTATCCTGCAGCAATGAATTGGCGCAGACGACTCTCAAGGTCAGGTCAAAAGTCAGCTGGTACGGCCAGTCCTACCATTATGCAAACACTCGTCAGAGACACGACAGCTAGAGTCCTGCGAACCAACGCTCACGTAAAGCACAATGCCTAACACAATCGTCCTAAATACGCTTAGCATGTGAGCGTTGCTTTCAAAAAGTTAACTCCCATGACTGTACCCTCCAGCACAGTTGTCGATCGCATACGGATGCCATGGGTGGGGTAGGGTCTAGGGATGGATGGCAAGTTGGCAATGACCAATGCCGATCACTCATCGAGGTACGGTAGTGTAGGTGCCACTGCCAGCAGACTTGTGCTCCCATCCCATGAGTGCACCCTTTCATGGGCATGCCAAAACGGCCAATGCCATGCCCACACTCAGTCGTCCAGGTAGTAGTAGGTGCCGGCACTCTTCTGCTCGCGGTCCTTGACAGAATCCATCTTGTTGATGCGCGGCCGAAAGTTGGTGGGGTCGCGCCGGAACGTGATGTCCAGTTGCTGGGGGGGGGAGGGTGGTGGTGGTTGGGGGTGGGAGGAAACGATGGTTGTGAGGGGCACGGTAGCGAGAAGAGGTGAAAACGGGAGGGAGAAAGGGGTTCCATGAGTGCACCCTACAAGCGCACAGCTCCCTTGGGCATGCCGGAAGAGGTTCATGCCGCTGTTGAGCGACTTGAGGAGTGCAAGCCGTGCAATCCACGGACGGCTGCCCCTCGTAGACAATCACGCGGTCCGCCAGGTACGTGGCCATGATGAAGTCGTGCTCCACCACAAAGGGGGGTTCTCACTCACACAGCAAGCAACAAGGGGTCTCTCACCGAGAGGAAGAGGTTCATGCCGCTGTTGAGCGACTGGGGCGTGCGCGCCGTGCAGTCCACCGACGGCTGCCCCTCGTACACGATGACGCGGTCCGCCAGGTACGTGGCCATGATGAAGTCGTGCTCCACCACAAACGCCGTCTTCTTGGCGTGCAGGATGAAGCGCTTGATCACCTTGGCCGCCACAATGCGCTGCTCTGAATCCAAGTAGGCTGAGGGTTCATCAATCAGGTAGATGTCGGCAGGCTGGGAGGAAAGGGGGTGTGGGGGGTTGGAAGTGGAAGTGGAATGTTAAAGGGAGGGGAGGGATGAACGGCTTGATCACCTTGGCTGCCACGATGCGCTGCTCCGAATCCAGATAGGCCGAGGGCTCGTCTATGAGGTAGATGTCGGCAGGCTGGGAGGAGAGAGAAGAAGGAACGCATGTGCAGGATGAACGGCTTGATGACCTTGACCGTCACGATGCGCTGCTCTTGAGTCGAGATAGGCCGAGGGTTCATCGATCAGATAGATGTCGGCAGGCTGGAGAAAGGAGAAAGTGGAAGAGGGGGAGAAAGGGAAAAAAGGGAAGGATGAACCGCTTGATGACCGTGGCTGCCACAATGCACTGCTCTTGAGTCGAGATAGGCCGATGGATCGTCAATGAGGTAGATGCCACCAAGGCAGAGGGAAATAGCGACGCACCTTCCCAAAAAGAGGGAAATAGCGACGCACCTTCCCAAGGCAGAGGGAAATAGCCACACGCTGCAACTCTCCTCCTGACAAATTCACCACCTCCTGGTCGAGCAGGGGGTCGATCTGCATGGGGCAACTTCTGAGCCGCCCCAGAACCGCCCCAAACCACCTTGAACCGCCGCAGTCTCCAAGAGAGAGTTGACCAACCCACCCACTCCTTCCTTACCTTTCCCAGACAAAGGGTAATAGCCACGCGCTGCAGCTCCCCACCCGACAAATTCACCACCTCCTGGTCCAGGAGCGGGTCGATCTGCATGGGGCGCAGCACGTCGGTGTTGAACTGCGGGTGGTGGAACGAGTCGCGGATCTTGGAGTGCAGCAGCGCGCGCACGCTGTGGGGGAACTTGGGGGAGATCTTCTGCGGCTTGTACGACACGTTGAACTCCGGGAGGTCCTCGGCCTCCTTGCCGGTCTCCTCGTCCGGGTCAGCCTTTAAGAGACCAGCCTGTAAGGGGTTGAGAAGGACACAGGAGAGCGGAAAGGAGAGGAACGAGAGGGTATGAGAGGGGGAACTTGCGGCTGATCTTCTGCGGCTTGTACGACACGTTGAACTCCGGGAGGTCCTCAGCTTCTTTCCCGGTCTCCTCGTCTGGATCTGCCTTCAAGAGGCCGGCCTGGAGGGGTTCAGAACGAGACAGGAGAGGAGAGGGGAGGAGGGAGGAGAGTAACGCAGAAAACTTGGGGCTGGGCTGGTCTTCTGCGGCCTGTACAACACACTGAAATCCGGGAGATCTTCGGCTTCCTTGCCAGTTGATTCGTCCGGGTCGGCCTTTAACAGACCAGCCTGCGTGATACAAGGGAGAAGGGAGACAAGGCACGGGGGATCGAAGTGGAAAGGGAAGAAAAAGGGACGGAGAATGAGAATGGGAAGGGAAACTTGGGGCTGGGCTGGTCTTCTGCGGCCTGTACGACGCGTTGAACTCGGGAAAACCTTGGGCCTCCTTGCCGGTTTCCTCATCTGGGTCCGGCCTTGAGAGAGCCGCCTGGAAGGGAGAGAGGAGGGATGGAAGATGGATCATGGAAGGGACAGGGAGGAGAGAGAGCCAAAGAGACGTGCAAGCTGGCGATATTGGGAGACGCGGAAACGGGAATTTAGGAGCCAACGACTAGCCCAACCGGTATGCATATGACACAAGAGTCGGCCTATTAGCTCTTCGGAAGCATGTGGCATGGTGCGGGCACATGCAAGTTGGGCTACCGGCCTACCACCAGCCATGCACAGGTGAGAGAGTTGGCCTACCAGCATGCGGATAAAGGTGGTTTCGCCGGTGCCATTCTCCCCCAGCATCACCACGATCTGCGAGTCTGTGCCTTGCGTCCACTGCCATCCCTACCTATGGTGCACACATGTGCCTACCAGCATGCGCACCCATGAGAGACAGCTTCCCTACCAGCATGCGGATAAAGGTGGTCTTGCCGGTGCCGTTCTCCCCCAGCATCACCACGATCTGTGAGTCCGTGAAGTCACCAGGTTCCACCGTCAGCTTGAATCCGCCCTGCTTCTTGACCATGCGCGGGTACTTGTAGCGCGTGTACGTCTTGGCCTCTTCAGGGTTATCGACTGGGGTTTCAGCAACCTGAGATGGAATGGAGAGGGGGGGAGGGGAAGGAGGGGCTTGAACCCGCCCTGCTTCTTGACCATGCGCGGGTACTTGTAGCGCGTGTACGTCTTGGCTTCTTCAGGATTATCTACCGGGGTTTCAGCCACCTGATGGGAGCAATGATGGGTTGAGATGGGTCAGAAATAAGGGTAATTTAGCTGCAAAGCTTGAACCCGCCCTGCTTCTTGATCATGCGCGGGTACTTGTACCGCGTGTACGTCTTGGCCTCTTCAGGATTATCCACCGGGGTTTCAGCCACCTGAGATGGAATGAAGGGGGGTGAAAGAATGGAGTGAGGGAGGGGAAGGAGGAGGTTGAACCCGCCGTGCTTCTTGATCATGCCCAAATACCTGTACCGAACCGACTGTACGTCTTGGCCTCCCTCCTCAGGATTATCCACCAGGGTTTTCGTCCCCTGATGGGAGGGGGAAAGGAGAAGAGGCACGGGCGGAGGAGAGGGAGTGGAGGGGAGGAAAGGAGTGCTTTGAGGAACCTGAGACAGCACACAGAGAGCTTCAACACGCCCTGCTTCTTGATCATGCGTGGGTACTTGTACCAAGTATATGTCTTGGCCTCGTCCGTTTCTTCCAACTTTGAAAATGAATGAGCTTTTCGTCTCAAAAATGTGGGTCTGACTTCTGAGTCGACTTTTGTGTCTTAAGTCGGCTCAAAAGATGAAAAAAAAATATGCTCATGCCCTATCTAACGAAGTTGGAAACTGAGGCAAGGAAGAAACATCCATTCACAAAGAGGAGCGACAGACAAGCAGACCCACACGGAAGGTGAGCGACTCGTCTTGAAAACGCAGGTTTCCAGCTGGTATGAAGCCGGCAAGAAAGATGTTCATTCCCTCGAGCACAGAGAAACACAAAATTCCCCTCTTTCAAGTCAACACCTAAAGCAGACTCACCCTGAAGGTGAGCGGCTCGTCTCGGAAGCGCAGGTTCTCGGTCAGAACAAAGCCGGCAAGGAAGATGTTGATGCCCCCTCGCACTGCTGATTGAATTCTAAAGGTGTGCCTGCAATATGAAAATTTTGATGTCCCGACGGACACGGTGACACCCTCACGGCAGACTCACCCTGAATGTGAGCGACTCGTCTCGGAAGCGCAGGTTCTCGGTTGGCACGAAGCCAGCCAGGAAGATGTTGATGCCCTCTCGCACGGAGAAGGGCAGCGTGACCACCCCGTAGGCACCGGGCTTGCCGTAGAGGCAGCAGATGAAGTCCGAGAGATAGTCGAGCACACTGAGATCGTGCTCCACCACAATGACGTATCTGGGGGGGGATGGGGATGATGGAATGGGGAGTGAGTGGGCAGGGCAGTGGGTGCATGGGGTGATAGCGCAGAAAAACCGCCCTGTATGCCCCTGGCTTGCCGTAGAGGCAGCACATGAAGTGGGAGAGATAGTCGAGCACACTCAGGTCACGCTCCACCACAATCACGTATCTGGAACGGTGGGGGATGCATGGAGGAATGGGGGAATGAAAGGGAGCAAGGGAAAGGGCAGTGGTGTAACAATATCGTACCACTGGTTTCATATTCCTATTCGATGTTCAAGTATTTTAGCACTAATGGATTTGGTTCAACTAGCTTGTTATTCGGTTACATATTGACTCCCTTCGAGGGGTTCAAGAACTTACTAAGGGAGTCAATATGTAACCGAATGACCAGCTATTTGAATCAAATCCAACAGTGTTTAAATACTTGAGCATTGAATAGGAATATGAAACAAATGACCAGCTATGACCAGCTATTTGAATCCCTCTTTCCCTTGCTCTATCCACCAACCATTGATCGCACCTGTTCGGACCACTGACCATACCTGTCGGGGCGCAGCAGCGAGCGGATGACCTGCGCTGCCTTCAATCGCTGCCGCACGTCCAGGTAGCTGGAAGGCTCATCGAACATGTAGATGTCTCCCAGCTGCCCCGCCACCACTCCAATGGCAAACCGTTGCAGCTCGCCTCCTGACAGATGCTCCACCTCACGCTCCCACACCTGAAAGGAGTGGTGAATCGGGATGAGGATAGGTGATTAGGTGGGGAAGAGGAGAGGGCTCATCGAACATGTAGATGTCTGTCTCCCAGCTGCCCCCCCACCACTCCAACGGCAAAGCGCTGCAGCTCTCCTCCGGACACGTGCTCCACCTCACGCTCCCACACCTGGACGAGGGAAGGGGAAAAGGGAGGAAGGCGAATAGGAAGGAATTAGACGGGGGAAGTGCAACCAGATGGGGGTGTGCAAGACTAGCTCGTTGGCCCTGATGGCAAACCGATCAATGTTTTTTCCCCCTACCGCCTCTTTATGCACCCACCCTTCTCTGTGAGCACCACGCCCACCACCCCCTTCACCGAAGAGCAAACAAGGGGTACTATAACGCAGAGCGTGGACAATAAAGAGAGTGACAATAGCGAGAGGGGAGATGAAACCCCCCCCATGACCCCCCCCCAAGGCCCCCCCAAGGCCCCCCCAAGGCCCCCCCAAGGCCCCCCCAAGGCCCCCCCAAGGCCCCCCTAAGGCCCCCCTACCCCCCAATCCTCCTCACAGCCCCCCACCCCGCCCCCCAAAATCCCTGGCATGGGCATGGTCCCCCCCTATCCCTACAGTAACCGGGCGGCAGCAACAGTAACCGGGTGGCAGCAACAGTAACCGGGTGGCAGCAACAGTAACCGGGCGCAGCAGCAACAGTGTCTGGGCGGCAGCAACAGTGTCTGGGCGGCAGCAACAGTGTATGGGCGGCAGCAACAGTGTCTGGGCGGCAGCAACAGTGTCTGGGCGGCAGCAACAGTGTCTGGGCGGCAGCAACAGTGTCTGGGCGGCAGCAACAGTGTCTGGGCGGCAACAACAGTGTCTGGGCGGCAACAACAGTGTCTGGGCGGCACCAATAGTGTCTGGGCGGCACCAACAGTGTCTGGGCGGCAGCAACAGTGTCTGGATGGCAGCAACAGTGTCTGGATGGCAGCAACAGTACCTGGGCGGCAGCAACAGTACCTGGGCGGCAGCAACAGTACCTGGGCGGCAGCAACAGTGTATGGACGGAATCAACAGTGTCTGGGGAGCATCAACAGCATCTGGGCGGTAGCAACAGTGTCTGGGCGGCAGCAACAGTAAGGGGGCGGCTGGAACAGTAACCGGGCGGCAGGCTGCTGGAACAGGGGCCAGGCTGAAACCCCGTGGGCCCGAGCTCCCCACCCCAGGCCCGGCCAAACCAGACCAGGCCAGGGCATGGCTATATAGTAGGCATGCCCATACATACAAGCACACATATCAAGTCCTACAATCCTAGCTACACAGACAGATTCTACCACTGAAATTAGTTAAGCAGTTATCATGCGTGCTAGAACATCATAAGCGTAATAAATGAAGGCATGGCAAGGCTATAGGTTTGTGGCATGAGCAGGGTGTGGTTTGAACGCACGTGCAGAGAGTGAAAGCATGTGGAGGAGGGACGGCAAGGGAGGGGGGGGGGGGGGAGAGATGCCACGAGTGAGGAGTGGCAGCTTCTCACCTGGCTGGCTGTTTTGGGCAATGAGTGAGTGGGGGGAGGGAGCATAGCAAGTGAGTGCGGGGAGCATGGCGAGCAAGCGGGGATGGCAGAGGGGTGAACAGAGGGAACAGAGGGAACAAAAGGTGGGTGAACAGTGGGGAAAAAACCGTGGTGTGAACAACGGGGGACGGAGAAACAGTGGTGTGAACATTTCGGGACGGGGAAACAATGGCGTGAACAGTGGGGGACGGGGAAACAATGGCATGAACAGTGGGGGACGGGGAAACGGTGGTGTGAAAAGTGGGTGAACAGTAAAGGTGAGTGCAGGGGAGCAGAGGTGAGTGCAGGGGAGCAGAGGTGAGTGCAGGGGAGCAGAGGTGAGTGCAGGGGAGCAGAGGTGAGCGCAGGGGAGCAGAGGTGAGCGCAGGGGAGCAGAGGTGAGCGCAGGGGAGCAGAGGTGAGCGCAGGGGAGCAGAGGTGAGCGCAGGGGAGCAGAGGTGACCGCAGGGGAGCAGAGGTGAGCGCAGGGGAGCAGAGATGAGTGCAGGGGAGCAGAGGTGAGCGCAGGGGAGCAGAGGTGAGCGCAGGGGAGCAGAGGTGAGCGCAGGGGAGCAGAGGTGAGCGCAGGGGAGCAGAGGTGAGCGCAGGGGAGCAGAGGTGAGCGCAGGGGAGCAGAGGTGAGCGCAGGGGAGCAGAGATGAGTGCTGGGGAGCAGTGGGGAAAGGTGAATAAAGGGGAGCGGTGGTGGGGGAAGGTGAAGAGTGGTGATAAGTGGGGGGGGATGGTGAGTGTGGGGAGCAGAGGTGGTGAGTGTGGAGGCAATCTCCCTCGCCTCCCTCCCTCTCACCACGCAACGCAACGCAAGCAACGTACCTTGCGCACTGCAACACAACGCAAGCAACGTACCTTGCGCACTGCAACGCAACGCAAGCAGCGTACCTTGCGCACTGCACTGGCCGAGCCTCATCCAGACCAGAGCCGAGCCGAACCTCGTCCGACGTCGAGGCCAAGTCCGGCAGACCTCAGCCACCTCTGGGGTGGGAGGGTGGAGGGTGAGAGAGGCGGTGATTGGGGGGGAAGAGGAGGCGAGGGGGGATTAAGGAGGTCAGGGGGGGAGGGCATAACGAGTGCACATCTCAAGCGCGTTTACGAGGTGAGTACGTACGGGGGACAGGGGAGGGTGAGAAGAGGGGTGGACAGGAGGTGAGAAGAGAGGACGAGAGGAGGTGAGTACGGGGGACGGACGAGGCGAGGAGAGGGCAGTACAGGAGGTAACGACGCCTCGTTAAACAGTGGGGGGGGGGGGGGGGGGGGGATGCCACGAGTGAGGAGTGGCAGCTTCTCACCTGGCTGGATGTTTCGGGCAATGAGTGAGTGGGGGGAGGGGAGGGAGCATAGCAAGTGAGTGCGGGGAGCATGGCGAGCAAGCGGGGATGGCAGAGGGGTGAACAGAGGGAACAGAGGGAACAAAAGGTGGGTGAACAGTGGGGAAAAAACCGTGGTGTGAACAACGGGGGACGGAGAAACAGTGGTGTGAACATTTGGGGACGGGGAAACAATGGCGTGAACAGTGGGGGACGGGGAAACGGTGGTGTGAAAAGTGGGTGAACAGTAAAGGTGAGTGCAGGGGAGCAGAGGTGAGTGCAGGGGAGCAGAGGTGAGTGCAGGGGAGCAGAGGTGAGTGCAGCAGGGAGCAGAGGTGAGCGCAGGGGAGCAGAGGTGAGCGCAGGGGAGCAGAGGTGAGCGCAGGGGAGCAGAGGTGAGCGCAGGGGAGCAGAGGTGAGCGCAGGGGAGCAGAGATGAGTGCTGGGGAGCAGTGGGGAAAGGTGAATAAAGGGGAGCGGTGGTGGGGGAAGGTGAAGAGTGGTGATAAGTGGGGGGGGATGGTGAGTGTGGGGAGCAGAGGTGGTGAGTGTGGAGGCAATCTCCCTCGCCTCCCTCCCTCTCACCACGCAACGCAACGCAAGCAACGTACCTTGCGCACTGCAACGCAACGCAAGCAACGTACCTTGCGCACTGCACTGGCCGAGCCTCATCCAGACCAGAGCCGAGCCGAACCTCGTCCGACGTCGAGGCCAAGTCCGGCAGACCTCAGCCACCTCTGGGGTGGGAGGGTGGAGGGTGAGAGAGGCGGTGATTGGGGGGGGGAAGAGGAGGCGAGGGGGGATTAAGGAGGTCAGGGGGGGAGGGCATAACGAGGGCACAAAACAAGCGCGTTTAGGAGGTGAGTACGGGGGACAGGGGAGGTGAGAAGAGAGGACGAGAGGAGATGAGTACGGGGGGACGGACGAGGTGAGGAGAGGGGAGTACAGGAGGTGATGACGCCTCGTCATGGTCTCACCTCGTGCCTCTCTCCTCGCCGCGCCGTTGCCCACCTGCCCCGCCACGTGGCCATCCGTGATTGGCTGAGAGGCGGGCGGCGGCGCCACGGTCATACGTTCTTCGTACAACTGAAGGGGGGGGATGGGGAAGAGGGGCACGGAGCTTGGGGGGGCAACTGGAGGGGGGTTCCACCAGCGCGCGACGCGCCGTTCTCCGCAGGGTTAAGGTTGACCGCGGGAAACGGCGGGAAACCGGCAGAAAAGGGCGGGAATCAGGAAAGAAGCAACACGCCGCGCCTGCAGCGCGGAACGCGCACATTGCGCCACATGCAGCGCGGAACGAGCACATTGCGCCGCCTGCAGCGCGGAACGCGCACATCGCCCCGCCTGCAGCGCGGAACGTGCACATTGCGCCGCCTGCAGCGCGGAACGAGCACATCGCGCCGCCTGCAGCGCGGAACGAGCATATCGCCCCGCCTGCAGCGCGGAACAAGCACATTGCCCCGCCTGCAGCGCGGAACAAGCACATCTCCCCGCCTGCAGCGCGGAACGCGCACATCGCCCCGCCTGCAGCACGGAACGAGCACATCGCCCCGCCTGCAGCGCGGAACGCGCACATCGCCCCGCCTGCAGCGCGGAACGCGCACATCGCCCCGCCTGCAGCGCGGAACGCGCACATCGCCCCGCCTGCAGCGCGGAACGCGCACATTGCGCCCGCCTGCAGCGCGGAACGCGCACATCGCCCCGCCTGCAGCGCGGAACGAGCACATTGCGCCGCCTGCAGCGCGGAACGAGCAGGAAACGGAGGGGATCAAGTTGACCGAGGAAGACGGCGGGAAACGGCGGGAAGGAAAACCATGGGAAACCATGGGCAAGAGCGGGAAGCGGCGGGAAAAGGCTGGAAAAGAAGGGAATCAGCGCGGAAAGGGCACTAAGCCGTGCATGGGGCGCGGAGAAAAGGCAACTCGCCACGCCTGCAGCGAGGAAATGCACTTCGCCGTGCCTGCAGCGCTGAAAAAAGCAACTCGCCGCGCCTGCAGCGCGGAAGACGCACTTGGCCACGCCTCTCAGCTGGCAGTGCCGAGCCTCTCACCAGGCAGTGCCGAGCCTCTCATGGCGCGCGATCCGCCGCCTACCACGTGGCGCGCGATCCGCCGCCTGGTGATGCCGCTGCCTGGTGGGAGAGGTAGGTAAGTGGGAGAGGTAAGTGCTGATCTGATAGGAACATTTGCCGTCAAATATAAAACAAAGAAAGAAGAACAACATAACAGAAATGATAGGACGAGCAAAGCTGAACACAAAAGGAGGCAGTGAAGCAGGAAGCACCCGCTACGAGTTAAGAAGTCCAAGGCGCCTGGTGAGAGTGTTGAGCGGGAAACGGCGGGAAAAGGCAGGAGGCAGAACATGGAGAGGAGAGGAAGGGCCGGGGAAGAGGGAAACTTTAGCTAAAAATATAATCTCACCGTGTTAATATAAATATAAATCGCATCTAAACAACCGGAGCATCTGCTGGAACGCGGAATAACTCTCACGGGGGCCTAAGCTGCTGCGCCCACCATTCCGTCAGCGGCGTGACATAGGCCATCTGCTGCCGCGGCGCGCCATTCCGCCATCTGCTGCGCGCGCCAATTCGCCTGCTGCTGCGCGCGCCATTCTCCCTGCTGCTGAACGATTTATGACTAAGAGAAACAAAAATAAAAATGCTAAGAGAATGCTACTAAGAGCATTTAGAGGAATGACTATAGAACGCTACTACTAGTGAAACCGTCCAGTGAGAGCGACGCTGGGAGAAGAAGAGCAGTCGAGAGAAAGAGGAGGAGGTTAACAATGGGAGAGTTGAAGCGTTGAAAAACATCTGCTGCTGCGGTGAGAGAAGAAACGCGTCTTTGCACTACAGGACAATATCACGACCGTTCGACGGTGAGGTCCAACCGAGCCACCTCGCGCGCACGCGCTTTCGCTCCGCGCAGCGACCCGTGTGACATGACATCGCATGCTGCAGATTTAACGGACATCTAACGCTATATCTGCAAATGAGAAAAAGCGCGGGGCGAATAAACGAAAGCACCGCGCAGGGAGCAGCGCGAGGCGCGCATGACGACGACAATTTAACGGGCGCGAAGCGTGCAAGGCGCGCGAACAAACACTGGACTGAGACCTTACTAATGCGAATGACACGGCAGCGGATTAGGTGGTTGTGAGCTAACTGAGAAGGGCGAGGCGAGGAATGCGAGAGAATCGAGTTTGGTGCGGAGAGGAGAGGTGGATGAGATTGAAACCCACCCTCCCACAAAATGTTTTGTAACAAGGAGGGCAGAGAGAAACAAAAGGGAAAGCTAACTCCACACCCTAATCTGAAATGGAAGAGAGTCAACTGAGTGGATCCGATTTACACGTACAAATGTACGGGCGGAATAAAAAAACGAAAAAAAAAATGTTGTAAGACGATGCGCGTCACATTCGCCACTCACAGCACAAACGGATGTTCCTATCTGATTGTTACTGTGGTTTGAGGCGCGAGTCGACTTGCAGCCTCCGCAGTTGTGCAGCTACACCTCCAGAGTACTAAGTAATATCTCCTACATGAACATGTTCGCACTTATCAAGTACATTTGAAAAAACAAAAAGGCATTGGCTCATAATAAGGAAATGTTTACAAGATAAGGTTTATAACATATGCACATGGGCTAATTAAATGGATATTATAGGGCCGTATTATTTTCTTTCCTCGTTGAAGCGAAGCGTCTCCATATGTCGTTATAAAACAAACTAACGTCACAGGCAACAAAAAAGGTGCGCGTAATTACTTCAAATATAAGGACGACGATGACAAGTACGGGAACAACAACGAGGACGCGGAGGAGGAGGAGGAGGAGGAGGAGGAGGAGGAGGAGGAGGAGGAGGAGGAGGAGGAGGAGGAGGAGGAGGAGGAGGAGGAGGAGGAGGAGGAGGAGGAGGATGCGGAGGAGGAGCAGGAGCAGGAGCGGGAGTAGGTGCAGGAGGAGGAGCAGGAGGAGGGGAGGAGGAGGAAACATCAGTGGGAGTACTAGCGGCAAACGGCAGCAGTGCGCAATAGCCTTACCATCAAGCAGCACTAGGAAACGCTAGCGGCGAACAGTAGCTGTGCGCAACAGCCTCACCATTGAGCAGCAACATAAAATGTTCAGCAGAAGTATGAAACACCACCACGAGCACAAACAACGAACGGTAGTAGTGAGCATCCGCCTCACCATCGAGCAGCAATGGAAAATGTTCAATAGCAGTAGGAAACAACAAGAGTACCACAAGCTTGAACGGTAGTTTTGAGAATCTGGCTTGCAATTGAGCAGCAACAGGAAATGTTCAACAGCAGTAGGAAAAAACAGCACGAGCAAAAGAAGGGAACGATAGTAGTGAGCATCCGCCTCACCATCGAGCAGCAGCTGAAAATGCAGTAGTAGTAGTGAGCATTCGCCTCACCATCGAGTAGCATCACCATCGAGCAGCAACAGAACAGGGGTGACAACGACCAGGAGGGCGACGACAACGAGGCGGAGGAGGACAAGGAGGAGGAGGAGGAGGAGGAGGAGGAGGAGGAGGAGGAGGAGGAGGAGGAGGAGGAGGAGGAGGAGGAGGAGGAGGAGGAGGAGGAAGACGACGAGGACCAGGACGAAGAGCAGGAGCAGGAGCAGGGGCAGGAGGAGGAGGAGGAGGAGGAGGAGGAGGAGGAGGAGGAGGAGGAGGAGGAGGAGGAGGAGGAGGAGGAGGAGGAGGAGGAGGAGGAGGACAAGGAGCAGGAGGAGGAGGAGGAAGAGGAGGAGGAGGAGGAGGAGGAGGAGGAGGAGGAGGAGGAGGACAAGGAGGAGGACGAGGAGGAGGAGGAGGGCGACGAGAAAGAAGACGACAACGATGAGGTGGAGGAAGACGAGGAGGAGGAGGAGAACGAGGAGGAGGAGGAAGACGAGGAGGAGGAGGAGGAGGAGGAGGAGGAGGAGGAGGAGGAGGAGGAGGAGGAGGAGGAGGAGGAGGAGGAGGAGGAGGAGGAGAACGAGGAGGACGAGGAGGAGGAGGAGAAGGAGGAGTAGGAGGAGGAAGACGAGAAGGAGGAGGAGGAAGAGGAGGAGGAGGAGGAGGAGGAGGAGGAGGAGGAGGAGGAGGAGGAGGAGGAGGAGGAGGAGGAGGAGGAGGAGGAGGAGGAAACACCAGTATGAGCACAAACAGCAAACAGTTGTACTTAGCATTCGCCTCACAATCGAGCAGCAACAAAAAATACTCAGCAGCAGTATGAAACACCATCACGAGCACAAGCAGCAAACGGTAGTAGTGAGCATCCGCCTCACCATCAAGCAACAACAGATAATATCCAGCAGCAGTAGGAAACACCAGCACGAGCACAAGCAGCGAACTGTAGTAGTGAGAAACCACCTCACCATCGAGCAGCAACTGAAGATGTTCAGCAGCCGTAGGAAACACAAGCACGAGCACAAGTAGCGAAAGGTAGTAGCCAGCATCCGCCTCACCATCGAGAAGCAACGGAAAATGTTCAGCAGCAGTAGAAAACACCAGCACGAACACAAGCAGCGAACGATAGTAGTGAGCATCCGCCTCACCATCGAGCACCAGCTGAAAATGCAGTAGTAGTGAGCATTCGCCTCACCATCGAGCAGCAACGGAAAATGCTAAACAACACTAGGAAACACCAGCACGAGCAGAAGTAGCGAACGGCAGTAGTGAGCATTTGCCTCACCATCGAGCAGCAACGGAAAATGCTCAGCAGCACTAGGATACACTAGCACGAGCACAAGGACGCGAACGGCAACAGTGAGCAGTCGCCTCACCATCGAGCAGCAATATAAAATGTTCAGCAGTGATAAGAAGCAACCGGACCAGCACAAGCAGCGAATGGTAGTAGTGAGCATCTGCCTCGCCATCGAGCAGCAACAGAACAGGTGTGACAAGGATGGTGAAGGTGACAACGACGAGGAGGAAGAGGGCAGGGAGGAGGAAGACGACGACGAGGAGGACCAGGACGAGGAGCTGGAGCAGGAGCAGGAGCAGGAGCAGGAGCAGGAGGAGAAGGAGGAAGAGGAGGAGGAAGAGGAGGAGGAGGAGGAGGAGGAGGAGGAGGAGGAGGAGGAGGAGGAGGAGGAGGAGGAAAAGGAGGAGGAGGAGGAGGAGGAGGAGGAGGAAGAGGAGGAGGAGGACGAGGATGAGGAGGAAGACGAGGAGGAGGAGGAGGAGGAGGAGTAGGAGTAGGAGGAGAAGGAGGAGGAGGAGGAGGAGGAGGAGGAGGAGGAGGAGGAGGAGGAGGAGGAGGAGGAGGAGGAGGAGGAGGAGGAGGAGGAGGAGGAGGGCGACGAGAAAGAAGTCGACGACGATGAGGTGGAGGAAGACGAGGAGGAGGAGGAGAACGAGGAGTAGGAGGAGGAAGACGAGAAGGAGGAGGAGGAAGAGGAGGAGGAGGAGGAGGAGGAGGAGGAGGAGGAGGAGGAGGAGGAGGAGGAGGAGGAGGAGGAGGAGGAGGAGGAGGAGGAAACACCAGTATGAGCACAAACAGCAAACAGTTGTACTTAGCATCCGCCTCACAATCGAGCAGCAACAGAAAATACTCAGCAGCAGTATGAAACACCAGCACGAGCACAAGCAGCGAACTGTAGTAGTGAGAAACCACCTCACCATCGAGCAGCAACTGAAGATGTTCAGCAGCCGTAGGAAACACCAGCACGAGCACAAGCAGCGAAAGGTAGTAGTCAGCATCCGCCTCACCATCGAGAAGCAACGGAAAATGTTCAGCAGCAGTAGAAAACACCAGCACGAAAACAAGCAGCGAACGATAGTAGTGAGCATCCGCCTCACCATCGAGCAGCAGCTGAAAATGCAGTAGTAGTAGTGAGCATTCGCCTCACCATCGAGCAGCAACGGAAAATGCTAAACAGCACTAGGAAACACCAGCACGAGCAGAAGTAGCGAAGGGCAGTAGTGAGCATTCGCCTCACCATCGAGCAGCAACGGAAAATGCTCAGCAGCACTAGGATACACCAGCACGAGCACAAGGAGCGAACGGCAACAGTGAGCATTCGCCTCACCATCGAGCAGCAATATAAAATGTTCAGCATCGATAAGAAGCAACCGGACCAGCACAAGCAGCGAATGGTAGTAGTGAGCATCTGCCTCGCCATCGAGCAGCAACAGAACAGGTGTGACAAGGACGGGGAAGGCGACGACGACGAGGAGGAAGAGGGCAGGGAGGAGGAAGACGACGACGAGGAGGACCAGGACGAGGAGCTGGAGCAGGAGCAGGAGCAGGAGGAGAAGGAGGAAGAGGAGGAGGAAGAGGAGGAGGAGGAGGAGGAGGAGGAGGAGGAGGAGGAGGAGGAGGAGGAGGAGGAGGAGGAAAAGGAGGAGGAGGAGGAGGAGGAAGAGGAGGAGGAGGACGAGGATGAGGAGGAAGACGAGGAGGAGGAGGAGGAGGAGGAGGAGGAGGAGTAGGAGTAGGAGGAGAAGGAGGAGGAGGAGGAGGAGGAGGAGGAGGAGGAGGAGGAGGAGGAGGAGGAGGAGGAGGAGGAGGAGGAGGAGGAGGAGGAGGAGGAGGACCACGACGACGACGAGGACCATGACGACAACGACGAGGAGGAGAAGGACGAGGAGGACGAGGAGGATGAGGAGGAGGAGGAGGAGGAGGAGGAGGAGGAGGAGGAGGAGGAGTAGGAGGAGGAGGAGGAGGAGGAGGAGGAGGAGGAGGAGGAGGAGGAGGAGGAGGAGGAGGAAACACCAGCATGAGCACAAGCAGCAAATAGTAGTACTGAGCATCCGCCTCACAATCGAGAAGCAACAGAAAACACTCAGCAACTAGTATGAAACACCAGTACAAGCACAAGCAGCGAACGGTAGTAGTGAGTAGTCGCTTCACCATCGAGGAGCAACAGGAAATACTTAGTAGCAGTAGGCAACACTAGCACGAGCACAAGCAGCGGACGGTAGTAGTGAACATCCGCCTCACCATCAAGCAGCAACAGAAAGTATTCAGCAGCAGTAGGAAACACCAGCACGAGCACAAGCAGTGAACAGTAGTAGTGTGCATTCGCCTCACCATCGAGCAACAATATAAAATATCCAGCAGTAGTGGAAACACCATCACGAGCACAAGCAGCAAACGGTAGTAGTGAGCATCCGCCTCACCATCAAGCAACAACAGATAATATCCAGCAGCAGTAGGAAACACCAGCACGAGCACAAGCAGCGAACTGTAATAGTGAGAATCCGCCTCACCATCGAGCAGCAACTGAAGATGTTCAGCAGCCGTAGGAAACACCAGCACGAGCACAAGCAGCGAAAGGTAGTAGTCAGCATCCGCCTCACCATCGAGAAGCAACGGAAAATGTTCAGCAGCAGTAGAAAACACCAGCACGAACACAAGCAGCGAAAGATAGTAGTGAGCATCCGCCTAACCATCGAGCAGCAGCTGAAAATGCAGTAGTAGTGAGCATTCGCCTCACCATCGAGCAGCAACGGAAAATGCTAAATAGCACTAGGAAACACCAGCACGAGCAGAAGTAGCGAACAACAGTAGTGAGCATTCGCCTCACCATCGAGCAGCAACGGAAAATGCTCAGCAGCACTAGGATACACCAGCACGAGCACAAGGAGCGAACGGCAGCAGTGAGTATTCGCCTCACCATCGAGCAGCAATATAAAATGTTCAGCAGCGATAAGAAGCAACCGGACCAGCACAAGCAGCGAATGGTAGTAGTGAGCATCTGCCTCGCCATCGAGCAGCAACAGAACAGGTGTGACAAGGACGGGGAAGGCGACGACGACGAGGAGGAGGAGGGCAGGGAGGAGGAAGACGACGACGACGAGGACCAGGACGAGGAGCAGGAGCAGGAGCAGGAGCAGGAGCAGGAGCAGGAGCAGGAGCAGGAGGAGAAGGAGGAAGAGGAGGAGGAAGAGGAGGAGGAGGAGGAGGAGGAGGAGGAGGAGGAGGAGGAGGAGGAGGAGGAGGAGGAGGAGGAGGAGGAGGAGGAGGAGGAAAAGGAGGAGGACCATGACGACGACGAGGAGGAGAAAGACGAGGAGGACGAGGAGGAAGAGGAGGAGGAGGAGGAGGAGGAGGAGGAGGAGGAGGAGGAGGAGGAGGAGGAGGAGGAGGAGGAGGAAGAGGAGGAGGAGGAGGAGGAGGAAAAGGAGGAGGAGGAGGAGGAGGAACTGTACTGTATGGTTTGTCCACTCGCTCAGTTTTTGTTGGCAGAGTGGTTCGGAGCGGCAGTGCGTGGTGCTGGGCCGTTGTGTGTGGTCATTGGTGGTGTTGAGTGCCCGTGAGTGGTGACGAGCGGTGACGAGTGGTGATGAACGGTGTAGTCTGTCTACGGTGTGACGTTGATGTCCGTCTCCCGCCTCTCGACTACTGCAAACAAGGATGCCTTGAGCATCATGGAAACGGTTGTGAGGACTGTACAACACTGGTGGTTGTGCTTGTCTAGTGATTCTTAACCATTTGTGTCATCCCAACGATCAAGATAGGTTCAACGTGTTTCATTTCTTCGCATAGCATCCTCTTCTATCACTTTACCGTACATTGTGCAAAATTCTGGAGACAAAGCATTCTGAACTTCAGCAGCAGCACAAACAATGACATCGGCAGCAACAGCAGGGCAGCAGTAGCAAGCAGCAACAGCAGAGCAGCAGCAAGCAGTGACGGCAGCAGCAGTAGCAAGCAGTGACGGCAGCAGCAGGAGCAAGCAAGCATTGACAGCAGCAGCAGGAGCAAGCGAGTAGTGACAGCAGCAGCAGGAGCAAGCAAGCAGTGACGGCAGCAGCAGGAGTAAGCAAGCAGTGACGGCAGCAGCAGGAGCAAGCAAGCAGTGACGGCAGCAGCAGGAGTAAGCAAGCAGTGACAGCAGCAGCAGGAGTAAGCAAGCAGTGACGGCAGCAGCAGGAGCAAGCAAGCAGTGACGGCAGCAGCAGGAGTAAGCAAGCAGTGACGGCAGCAGCAGGAGTAAGCAAGCAGTGACAGCAGCAGCAGGAGTAAGCAAGCAGTGACGGCAGCAGCAGGAGCAAGCAAGCAGTGACGGCAGCAGCAGGAGCAAGCAAGCAGTGACGGCAGCAGCAGGAGTAAGCAAGCAGTGACGGCAGCAGCAGGAGTAAGCAAGCAGTGACGGCAGCAGCAGTAGCAAGCAAGCAGTGTCGGCAGCAGCAGTAGCAAGCAAGCAGTGACGGCAGTAGCAGGAGCAAGCTAGCAGGGTTTAAAGGTGTATAGCGACTGGCCGACTTTCCCGCAGTTGTATTGCAAGGGGGAGCTGGTTGGGGGGTGTGATATTGTGCTGCAGATGCACGAGAGTGGGGAGTTGAAAGAGGTGTTTGCAGAGAAAGGGGTGCTGGGAGGGGCGGGGAAGGGAGATGCACCAGGAGCAGTGACGGCAGCAGCAGCAGCGGCGGATGGGCAGGTTGATGGGGCGAAGGGGTTGCAAGAGCGGCTGAAGGCACTCCTCTCGTCTTCGCCTACCATGCTGTTCATGAAGGTATGTTGGAGTAGAGTGGGTTGGGGCGTATGTGATAATCTGTATCGTCCTGCCTTAGCTAATAAAGATGATTGAAGGCACTCGTCTCGTCTTCGCCTTCCTCTCATCCCTTCCTCTCATCCCTTCCTCTCATCCCTTCCTCTCATCCCTTCCTCTCATCCCGTCCTCTCTGCTGCGTTACCTCTCAGGGAACACCGGAGGAGCCGCGGTGTGGGTTCAGCCGCAAGGTGGTGGATGCAGTCCAGTCAGACATGGACTCATCGCATGTTTCCTTCCTTCTTCCCCATGGCTTGTCCTCACGGCCTTGCCTTGCTTTCCCAGGGCACACCAGAGGAGCCGCGGTGTGGGTTCAGCCGCAAGGTGGTGGATGCACTCACGTCAGAAGGTATTTCCTTTGGCAGTTTTGACATTCTCACGGACGAGGCAGTGCGGCAGGGGCTGAACACATGCCTTTACACCCCCCCAACCCCCCTTCCCCTGCCTTCCTGTGCTATGTACCCATGACCATCCCCATCCCTTGTTATTCAGGGAACACCGCAGGAGCCCCGGTGTGGGTTCAGCCGCAAGGTGGTGGATGCAGTCAAGTCAGACATGGACTCATCGCATGTTTCCCCCCCCTCTTCCCCCCTTCTTCCCCCCCTCTTCCCCCCTTCTTCCCCCCCTCTTCCCCCCCTCTTCCCCATGGCTTGTCCTCACGGCCTTGCCTTGCTTTCCCAGGGCACACCTGAGGAGCCGCGGTGTGGGTTCAGCCGCAAGGTGGTGGATGCACTTACGTCAGAAGGCATTTCCTTTGGCAGTTTTGACATTCTCACGGATGAAGCAGTGAGGCAGGGGCTGAAGGAGCTCTCCAATTGGCCCACGTACCCCCAGGTGTACCACAAGGGCGAGCTGATTGGTGGATGCGATATTGTGCTTGAAATGAAGGCTAATGGGGAGCTTAAAGCCGAGCTTGGAGGGTGAAGTTCACTGTACTGTGTAGCTAAATCATTTTCATATACCCGGTAGCTACCAAGGTAGAGCTGATTGGCATCTGTTTTTTAACCACAGTAAAAACAATGTGCCCATCTTTTGTGTCACTCGCAGTCCGATATGCCACTTTTTCCTCCAAGCTCCAACAGCAACAGATGCTACTACAGCCTGAAAATCATGCTCCAACAACTTCATTTGTTATCCTGCAGCAATGAATTGGCGCAGACGACTCTCAAGGTCAGGTCAAAAGTCAGCTGGTACGGCCAGTCCTACCATTATGCAAACACTCGTCAGAGACACGACAGCTAGAGTCCTGCGAACCAACGCTCACGTAAAGCACAATGCCTAACACAATCGTCCTAAATACGCTTAGCATGTGAGCGTTGCTTTCAAAAAGTTAACTCCCATGACTGTACCCTCCAGCACAGTTGTCGATCGCATACGGATGCCATGGGTGGGGTAGGGTCTAGGGATGGATGGCAAGTTGGCAATGGCCAATGCCGATCACTCATCGAGGTACGGTAGTGTAGGTGCCACTGCTAGCAGACTTGTGCTCCCATCCCATGAGTGCACCCTTTCATGGGCATGCCAAAACGGCCAATGCCATGCCCGCACTCAGTCGTCCAGGTAGTAGTAGGTGCCGGCATTCTTCTGCTCGCGGTCCTTGACAGAATCCATCTTGTTGATGCGCGGCCGAAAGTTGGTGGGGTCGCGCCGGAACGTGATGTCCAGTTGCTGGGGGGGGGAGGGTGGTGGTGGTTGGGGGTGGGAGGAAACGATGGTTGTGAGGGGCACGGTAGCGAGAAGAGGTGAAAACGGGAGGGAGAAAGGGGTTCCATGAGTGCACCCTACAAGCGCACAGCTCCCTTGGGCATGCCGGAAGAGGTTCATGCCGCTGTTGAGCGACTTGAGGAGTGCAAGCCGTGCAATCCACGGACGGCTGCCCCTCGTAGACAATCACGCGGTCCGCCAGGTACGTGGCCATGATGAAGTCGTGCTCCACCACAAAGGGGGGTTCTCACTCACACAGCAAGCAACAAGGGGTCTCTCACCGAGAGGAAGAGGTTCATGCCGCTGTTGAGCGACTGGGGCGTGCGCGCCGTGCAGTCCACCGACGGCTGCCCCTCGTACACGATGACGCGGTCCGCCAGGTACGTGGCCATGATGAAGTCGTGCTCCACCACAAACGCCGTCTTCTTGGCGTGCAGGATGAAGCGCTTGATCACCTTGGCCGCCACAATGCGCTGCTCTGAATCCAAGTAGGCTGAGGGTTCATCAATCAGGTAGATGTCGGCAGGCTGGGAGGAAAGGGGGTGTGGGGGGTTGGAAGTGGAAGTGGAATGTTAAAGGGAGGGGAGGGATGAACGGCTTGATCACCTTGGCTGCCACGATGCGCTGCTCCGAATCCAGATAGGCCGAGGGCTCGTCTATGAGGTAGATGTCGGCAGGCTGGGAGGAGAGAGAAGAAGGAACGCATGTGCAGGATGAACGGCTTGATGACCTTGACCGTCACGATGCGCTGCTCTTGAGTCGAGATAGGCCGAGGGTTCATCGATCAGATAGATGTCGGCAGGCTGGAGAAAGGAGAAAGTGGAAGAGGGGGAGAAAGGGAAAAAAGGGAAGGATGAACCGCTTGATGACCGTGGCTGCCACAATGCACTGCTCTTGAGTCGAGATAGGCCGATGGATCGTCAATGAGGTAGATGCCACCAAGGCAGAGGGAAATAGCGACGCACCTTCCCAAAGCAGAGGGAAATAGCCACGCACCTTCCCTAGGCAGAGGGAAATAGCCAAGCACCTTCCCAAGGCAGAGGGAAATAGCCACGCACCTTCCCAAGGCAGAGGGAAATAGCCACGCACTTTCCCAAAACAGAGTAATATAGCCACGCACCTTCCCAAGGCAGAGGGGAATAGCCACGCACCTTCCAAGGCAGAGGGAAATAGCCACGCACCTTCCAAGGCAGAGGGAAATAGCCACGCACCTTCCCAAAGCGGAGGGAAATAGCCACGCACCTTCCCAAGGCAGAGGGAAATAGCCACGCACCTTCCCAAGGCAGAGGGAAATAGCCACGCACCTTCCCAAGGCATAGCGAAATAGCCACGCACCTTCCCAAAACAGAGGGAAATAGCGACGCACCTTCCCAAGGCAGAGGGAAATAGCCATGCGCTGCAGCTCTCCTCCTGACAAATTCACCACCTCCTGGTCGAGCAGGGGGTCGATCTGCATGAGACAACTTCTGAGCCGCCCCAAAACCGTCCCAAAACCGCCCCAAAACCACCCCAAAACCGCCCCCAAACCACCCCAAAACCGCCCCAAAACCGCCTCAGACCACCTTAAAATCCCAAGAGGGACTTGATGCACCCCTTCCTTACCTTGCCAAGGCACAGCGTGATGGCCACGCGCTGCAGCTCCCCTCCTGAGATTTTCACCACCTCCTGGTCGAGCAGGGGGTCGATCTGCATGGGGCAACTTCTGAGCCGCCCCAGAACCGCCCCAAACCACCTTGAACCGCCGCAGTCTCCAAGAGAGAGTTGACCAACCCACCCACTCCTTCCTTACCTTTCCCAGACAAAGGGTAATAGCCACGCGCTGCAGCTCCCCACCCGACAAATTCACCACCTCCTGGTCCAGGAGCGGGTCGATCTGCATGGGGCGCAGCACGTCGGTGTTGAACTGTGGGTGGTGGAACGAGTCTCGGATCTTGGAGTGCAGCAGCGCGCGCACGCTGTGGGGGAACTTGGGGGAGATCTTCTGCGGCTTGTACGACACGTTGAACTCCGGGAGGTCCTCGGCCTCCTTGCCGGTCTCCTCGTCCGGGTCAGCCTTTAAGAGACCAGCCTGTAAGGGGTTGAGAAGGACACAGGAGAGCGGAAAGGAGAGGAACGAGAGGGTATGAGAGGGGGAACTTGCGGCTGATCTTCTGCGGCTTGAACGACACGTTGAACTCCGGGAGGTCCTCAGCTTCTTTCCCGGTCTCCTCGTCTGGATCTGCCTTCAAGAGGCCGGCCTGGAGGGGTTCAGAACGAGACAGGAGAGGAGAGGGGAGGAGGGAGGAGAGTAACGCAGAAAACTTGGGGCTGGGCTGGTCTTCTGCGGCCTGTACAACACACTGAAATCCGGGAGATCTTCGGCTTCCTTGCCAGTTGATTCGTCCGGGTCGGCCTTTAACAGACCAGCCTGCGTGATACAAGGGAGAAGGGAGACAAGGCACGGGGGATCGAAGTGGAAAGGGAAGAAAAAGGGACGGAGAATGAGAATGGGAAGGGAAACTTGGGGCTGGGCTGGTCTTCTGCGGCCTGTACGACGCGTTGAACTCGGGAAAACCTTGGGCCTCCTTGCCGGTTTCCTCATCTGGGTCCGGCCTTGAGAGAGCCGCCTGGAAGGGAGAGAGGAGGGATGGAAGATGGATCATGGAAGGGACAGGGAGGAGAGAGAGCCAAAGAGACGTGCAAGCTGGCGATATTGGGAGACGCGGGAAACGGGAACGGAATTTAGGAGCCAACGACTAGCCCAACCGGTATGCATATGACACAAGAGTCGGCCTATTAGCTCTTCGGAAGCATGTGGCATGGTGCGGGCACATGCAAGTTGGGCTACCGGCCTACCACCAGCCATGCACAGGTGAGAGAGTTGGCCTACCAGCATGCGGATAAAGGTGGTTTCGCCGGTGCCATTCTCCCCCAGCATCACCACGATCTGCGAGTCTGTGCCTTGCGTCCACTGCCATCCCTACCTATGGTGCACACATGTGCCTACCAGCATGCGCACCCATGAGAGACAGCTTCCCTACCAGCATGCGGATAAAGGTGGTCTTGCCGGTGCCGTTCTCCCCCAGCATCACCACGATCTGTGAGTCCGTGAAGTCACCAGGTTCCACCGTCAGCTTGAATCCGCCCTGCTTCTTGACCATGCGCGGGTACTTGTAGCGCGTGTACGTCTTGGCCTCTTCAGGGTTATCGACTGGGGTTTCAGCAACCTGAGATGGAATGGAGAGGGGGGGAGGGGAAGGAGGGGCTTGAACCCGCCCTGCTTCTTGACCATGCGCGGGTACTTGTAGCGCGTGTACGTCTTGGCTTCTTCAGGATTATCTACCGGGGTTTCAGCCACCTGATGGGAGCAATGATGGGTTGAGATGGGTCAGAAATAAGGGTAATTTAGCTGCAAAGCTTGAACCCGCCCTGCTTCTTGATCATGCGCGGGTACTTGTACCGCGTGTACGTCTTGGCCTCTTCAGGATTATCCACCGGGGTTTCAGCCACCTGAGATGGAATGAAGGGGGGTGAAAGAATGGAGTGAGGGAGGGGAAGGAGGAGGTTGAACCCGCCGTGCTTCTTGATCATGCCCAAATACCTGTACCGAACCGACTGTACGTCTTGGCCTCCCTCCTCAGGATTATCCACCAGGGTTTTCGTCCCCTGATGGGAGGGGGAAAGGAGAAGAGGCACGGGCGGAGGAGAGGGAGTGGAGGGGAGGAAAGGAGTGCTTTGAGGAACCTGAGACAGCACACAGAGAGCTTCAACACGCCCTGCTTCTTGATCATGCGTGGGTACTTGTACCAAGTATATGTCTTGGCCTCGTCCGTTTCTTCCAACTTTGAAAATGAATGAGCTTTTCGTCTCAAAAATGTGGGTCTGACTTCTGAGTCGACTTTTGTGTCTTAAGTCGGCTCAAAAGATGAAAAAAAAATATGCTCATGCCCTATCTAACGAAGTTGGAAACTGAGGCAAGGAAGAAACATCCATTCACAAAGAGGAGCGACAGACAAGCAGACCCACACGGAAGGTGAGCGACTCGTCTTGAAAACGCAGGTTTCCAGCTGGTATGAAGCCGGCAAGAAAGATGTTCATTCCCTCGAGCACAGAGAAACACAAAATTCCCCTCTTTCAAGTCAACACCTAAAGCAGACTCACCCTGAAGGTGAGCGGCTCGTCTCGGAAGCGCAGGTTCTCGGTCAGAACAAAGCCGGCAAGGAAGATGTTGATGCCCCCTCGCACTGCTGATTGAATTCTAAAGGTGTGCCTGCAATATGAAAATTTTGATGTCCCGACGGACACGGTGACACCCTCACGGCAGACTCACCCTGAATGTGAGCGACTCGTCTCGGAAGCGCAGGTTCTCGGTTGGCACGAAGCCAGCCAGGAAGATGTTGATGCCCTCTCGCACGGAGAAGGGCAGCGTGACCACCCCGTAGGCACCGGGCTTGCCGTAGAGGCAGCAGATGAAGTCCGAGAGATAGTCGAGCACACTGAGATCGTGCTCCACCACAATGACGTATCTGGGGGGGGATGGGGATGATGGAATGGGGAGTGAGTGGGCAGGGCAGTGGGTGCATGGGGTGATAGCGCAGAAAAACCGCCCTGTATGCCCCTGGCTTGCCGTAGAGGCAGCACATGAAGTGGGAGAGATAGTCGAGCACACTCAGGTCACGCTCCACCACAATCACGTATCTGGAACGGTGGGGGATGCATGGAGGAATGGGGGAATGAAAGGGAGCAAGGGAAAGGGCAGTGGTGTAACAATATCGTACCACTGGTTTCATATTCCTATTCGATGTTCAAGTATTTTAGCACTAATGGATTTGGTTCAACTAGCTTGTTATTCGGTTACATATTGACTCCCTTCGAGGGGTTCAAGAACTTACTAAGGGAGTCAATATGTAACCGAATGACCAGCTATTTGAATCAAATCCAACAGTGTTTAAATACTTGAGCATTGAATAGGAATATGAAACAAATGACCAGCTATGACCAGCTATTTGAATCCCTCTTTCCCTTGCTCTATCCACCAACCATTGATCGCACCTGTTCGGACCACTGACCATACCTGTCGGGGCGCAGCAGCGAGCGGATGACCTGCGCTGCCTTCAATCGCTGCCGCACGTCCAGGTAGCTGGAAGGCTCATCGAACATGTAGATGTCTCCCAGCTGCCCCGCCACCACTCCAATGGCAAACCGTTGCAGCTCGCCTCCTGACAGATGCTCCACCTCACGCTCCCACACCTGAAAGGAGTGGTGAATCGGGATGAGGATAGGTGATTAGGTGGGGAAGAGGAGAGGGCTCATCGAACATGTAGATGTCTGTCTCCCAGCTGCCCCCCCACCACTCCAACGGCAAAGCGCTGCAGCTCTCCTCCGGACACGTGCTCCACCTCACGCTCCCACACCTGGACGAGGGAAGGGGAAAAGGGAGGAAGGCGAATAGGAAGGAATTAGACGGGGGAAGTGCAACCAGATGGGGGTGTGCAAGACTAGCTCGTTGGCCCTGATGGCAAACCGATCAATGTTTTTCCCCCTACCGCCTCTTTATGCACCCACCCTTCTCTGTGAGCACCACGCCCACCACCCCCTTCACCGAAGAGCAAACAAGGGGTACTATAACGCAGAGCGTGGACAATAAAGAGAGTGACAATAGCGAGAGGGGAGATGAAACCCCCCCATGACCCCCCCCAAGGCCCCCCCAAGGCCCCCCCAAGGCCCCCCCAAGGCCCCCCCAAGGCCCCCCCAAGGCCCCCCTAAGGCCCCCCTACCCCCCAATCCTCCTCACAGCCCCCCACCCCGCCCCCCAAAATCCCTGGCATGGGCATGGTCCCCCCCTATCCCTACAGTAACCGGGCGGCAGCAACAGTAACCGGGTGGCAGCAACAGTAACCGGGTGGCAGCAACAGTAACCGGGCGCAGCAGCAACAGTGTCTGGGCGGCAGCAACAGTGTCTGGGCGGCAGCAACAGTGTATGGGCGGCAGCAACAGTGTCTGGGCGGCAGCAACAGTGTCTGGGCGGCAGCAACAGTGTCTGGGCGGCAGCAACAGTGTCTGGGCGGCAGCAACAGTGTCTGGGCGGCAACAACAGTGTCTGGGCGGCAACAACAGTGTCTGGGCGGCACCAATAGTGTCTGGGCGGCACCAACAGTGTCTGGGCGGCAGCAACAGTGTCTGGATGGCAGCAACAGTGTCTGGATGGCAGCAACAGTACCTGGGCGGCAGCAACAGTACCTGGGCGGCAGCAACAGTACCTGGGCGGCAGCAACAGTGTATGGACGGAATCAACAGTGTCTGGGGAGCATCAACAGCATCTGGGCGGTAGCAACAGTGTCTGGGCGGCAGCAACAGTAAGGGGGCGGCTGGAACAGTAACCGGGCGGCAGGCTGCTGGAACAGGGGCCAGGCTGAAACCCCGTGGGCCCGAGCTCCCCACCCCAGGCCCGGCCAAACCAGACCAGGCCAGGGCATGGCTATATAGTAGGCATGCCCATACATACAAGCACACATATCAAGTCCTACAATCCTAGCTACACAGACAGATTCTACCACTGAAATTAGTTAAGCAGTTATCATGCGTGCTAGAACATCATAAGCGTAATAAATGAAGGCATGGCAAGGCTATAGGTTTGTGGCATGAGCAGGGTGTGGTTTGAACGCACGTGCAGAGAGTGAAAGCATGTGGAGGAGGGACGGCAAGGGAGGGGGGGGGGGGGGGAGAGATGCCACGAGTGAGGAGTGGCAGCTTCTCACCTGGCTGGCTGTTTTGGGCAATGAGTGAGTGGGGGGAGGGAGCATAGCAAGTGAGTGCGGGGAGCATGGCGAGCAAGCGGGGATGGCAGAGGGGTGAACAGAGGGAACAGAGGGAACAAAAGGTGGGTGAACAGTGGGGAAAAAACCGTGGTGTGAACAACGGGGGACGGAGAAACAGTGGTGTGAACATTTCGGGACGGGGAAACAATGGCGTGAACAGTGGGGGACGGGGAAACAATGGCATGAACAGTGGGGGACGGGGAAACGGTGGTGTGAAAAGTGGGTGAACAGTAAAGGTGAGTGCAGGGGAGCAGAGGTGAGTGCAGGGGAGCAGAGGTGAGTGCAGGGGAGCAGAGGTGAGTGCAGGGGAGCAGAGGTGAGCGCAGGGGAGCAGAGGTGAGCGCAGGGGAGCAGAGGTGAGCGCAGGGGAGCAGAGGTGAGCGCAGGGGAGCAGAGGTGAGCGCAGGGGAGCAGAGGTGACCGCAGGGGAGCAGAGGTGAGCGCAGGGGAGCAGAGATGAGTGCAGGGGAGCAGAGGTGAGCGCAGGGGAGCAGAGGTGAGCGCAGGGGAGCAGAGGTGAGCGCAGGGGAGCAGAGGTGAGCGCAGGGGAGCAGAGGTGAGCGCAGGGGAGCAGAGGTGAGCGCAGGGGAGCAGAGGTGAGCGCAGGGGAGCAGAGATGAGTGCTGGGGAGCAGTGGGGAAAGGTGAATAAAGGGGAGCGGTGGTGGGGGAAGGTGAAGAGTGGTGATAAGTGGGGGGGGATGGTGAGTGTGGGGAGCAGAGGTGGTGAGTGTGGAGGCAATCTCCCTCGCCTCCCTCCCTCTCACCACGCAACGCAACGCAAGCAACGTACCTTGCGCACTGCAACACAACGCAAGCAACGTACCTTGCGCACTGCAACGCAACGCAAGCAGCGTACCTTGCGCACTGCACTGGCCGAGCCTCATCCAGACCAGAGCCGAGCCGAACCTCGTCCGACGTCGAGGCCAAGTCCGGCAGACCTCAGCCACCTCTGGGGTGGGAGGGTGGAGGGTGAGAGAGGCGGTGATTGGGGGGGAAGAGGAGGCGAGGGGGGATTAAGGAGGTCAGGGGGGGAGGGCATAACGAGTGCACATCTCAAGCGCGTTTACGAGGTGAGTACGTACGGGGGACAGGGGAGGGTGAGAAGAGGGGTGGACAGGAGGTGAGAAGAGAGGACGAGAGGAGGTGAGTACGGGGGACGGACGAGGCGAGGAGAGGGCAGTACAGGAGGTAACGACGCCTCGTTAAACAGTGGGGGGGGGGGGGGGGGGGGGGATGCCACGAGTGAGGAGTGGCAGCTTCTCACCTGGCTGGATGTTTCGGGCAATGAGTGAGTGGGGGGAGGGGAGGGAGCATAGCAAGTGAGTGCGGGGAGCATGGCGAGCAAGCGGGGATGGCAGAGGGGTGAACAGAGGGAACAGAGGGAACAAAAGGTGGGTGAACAGTGGGGAAAAAACCGTGGTGTGAACAACGGGGGACGGAGAAAACAGTGGTGTGAACATTTGGGGACGGGGAAACAATGGCGTGAACAGTGGGGGACGGGGAAACGGTGGTGTGAAAAGTGGGTGAACAGTAAAGGTGAGTGCAGGGGAGCAGAGGTGAGTGCAGGGGAGCAGAGGTGAGTGCAGGGGAGCAGAGGTGAGTGCAGGGGAGCAGAGGTGAGCGCAGGGGAGCAGAGGTGAGCGCAGGGGAGCAGAGGTGAGCGCAGGGGAGCAGAGGTGAGCGCAGGGGAGCAGAGGTGAGCGCAGGGGAGCAGAGATGAGTGCTGGGGAGCAGTGGGGAAAGGTGAATAAAGGGGAGCGGTGGTGGGGGAAGGTGAAGAGTGGTGATAAGTGGGGGGGGATGGTGAGTGTGGGGAGCAGAGGTGGTGAGTGTGGAGGCAATCTCCCTCGCCTCCCTCCCTCTCACCACGCAACGCAACGCAAGCAACGTACCTTGCGCACTGCAACGCAACGCAAGCAACGTACCTTGCGCACTGCACTGGCCGAGCCTCATCCAGACCAGAGCCGAGCCGAACCTCGTCCGACGTCGAGGCCAAGTCCGGCAGACCTCAGCCACCTCTGGGGTGGGAGGGTGGAGGGTGAGAGAGGCGGTGATTGGGGGGGGGAAGAGGAGGCGAGGGGGGATTAAGGAGGTCAGGGGGGGAGGGCATAACGAGGGCACAAAACAAGCGCGTTTAGGAGGTGAGTACGGGGGACAGGGGAGGTGAGAAGAGAGGACGAGAGGAGATGAGTACGGGGGGACGGACGAGGTGAGGAGAGGGGAGTACAGGAGGTGATGACGCCTCGTCATGGTCTCACCTCGTGCCTCTCTCCTCGCCGCGCCGTTGCCCACCTGCCCCGCCACGTGGCCATCCGTGATTGGCTGAGAGGCGGGCGGCGGCGCCACGGTCATACGTTCTTCGTACAACTGAAGGGGGGGGATGGGGAAGAGGGGCACGGAGCTTGGGGGGGCAACTGGAGGGGGGTTCCACCAGCGCGCGACGCGCCGTTCTCCGCAGGGTTAAGGTTGACCGCGGGAAACGGCGGGAAACCGGCAGAAAAGGGCGGGAATCAGGAAAGAAGCAACACGCCGCGCCTGCAGCGCGGAACGCGCACATTGCGCCACATGCAGCGCGGAACGAGCACATTGCGCCGCCTGCAGCGCGGAACGCGCACATCGCCCCGCCTGCAGCGCGGAACGTGCACATTGCGCCGCCTGCAGCGCGGAACGAGCACATCGCGCCGCCTGCAGCGCGGAACGAGCATATCGCCCCGCCTGCAGCGCGGAACAAGCACATTGCCCCGCCTGCAGCGCGGAACAAGCACATCTCCCCGCCTGCAGCGCGGAACGCGCACATCGCCCCGCCTGCAGCACGGAACGAGCACATCGCCCCGCCTGCAGCGCGGAACGCGCACATCGCCCCGCCTGCAGCGCGGAACGCGCACATCGCCCCGCCTGCAGCGCGGAACGCGCACATCGCCCCGCCTGCAGCGCGGAACGCGCACATTGCGCCGCCTGCAGCGCGGAACGCGCACATCGCCCCGCCTGCAGCGCGGAACGAGCACATTGCGCCGCCTGCAGCGCGGAACGAGCAGGAAACGGAGGGGATCAAGTTGACCGAGGAAGACGGCGGGAAACGGCGGGAAGGAAAACCATGGGAAACCATGGGCAAGAGCGGGAAGCGGCGGGAAAAGGCTGGAAAAGAAGGGAATCAGCGCGGAAAGGGCACTAAGCCGTGCATGGGGCGCGGAGAAAAGGCAACTCGCCACGCCTGCAGCGAGGAAATGCACTTCGCCGTGCCTGCAGCGCTGAAAAAAGCAACTCGCCGCGCCTGCAGCGCGGAAGACGCACTTGGCCACGCCTCTCAGCTGGCAGTGCCGAGCCTCTCACCAGGCAGTGCCGAGCCTCTCATGGCGCGCGATCCGCCGCCTACCACGTGGCGCGCGATCCGCCGCCTGGTGATGCCGCTGCCTGGTGGGAGAGGTAGGTAAGTGGGAGAGGTAAGTGCTGATCTGATAGGAACATTTGCCGTCAAATATAAAACAAAGAAAGAAGAACAACATAACAGAAATGATAGGACGAGCAAAGCTGAACACAAAAGGAGGCAGTGAAGCAGGAAGCACCCGCTACGAGTTAAGAAGTCCAAGGCGCCTGGTGAGAGTGTTGAGCGGGAAACGGCGGGAAAAGGCAGGAGGCAGAACATGGAGAGGAGAGGAAGGGCCGGGGAAGAGGGAAACTTTAGCTAAAAATATAATCTCACCGTGTTAATATAAATATAAATCGCATCTAAACAACCGGAGCATCTGCTGGAACGCGGAATAACTCTCACGGGGGCCTAAGCTGCTGCGCCCACCATTCCGTCAGCGGCGTGACATAGGCCATCTGCTGCCGCGGCGCGCCATTCCGCCATCTGCTGCGCGCGCCAATTCGCCTGCTGCTGCGCGCGCCATTCTCCCTGCTGCTGAACGATTTATGACTAAGAGAAACAAAAATAAAAATGCTAAGAGAATGCTACTAAGAGCATTTAGAGGAATGACTATAGAACGCTACTACTAGTGAAACCGTCCAGTGAGAGCGACGCTGGGAGAAGAAGAGCAGTCGAGAGAAAGAGGAGGAGGTTAACAATGGGAGAGTTGAAGCGTTGAAAAACATCTGCTGCTGCGGTGAGAGAAGAAACGCGTCTTTGCACTACAGGACAATATCACGACCGTTCGACGGTGAGGTCCAACCGAGCCACCTCGCGCGCACGCGCTTTCGCTCCGCGCAGCGACCCGTGTGACATGACATCGCATGCTGCAGATTTAACGGACATCTAACGCTATATCTGCAAATGAGAAAAAGCGCGGGGCGAATAAACGAAAGCACCGCGCAGGGAGCAGCGCGAGGCGCGCATGACGACGACAATTTAACGGGCGCGAAGCGTGCAAGGCGCGCGAACAAACACTGGACTGAGACCTTACTAATGCGAATGACACGGCAGCGGATTAGGTGGTTGTGAGCTAACTGAGAAGGGCGAGGCGAGGAATGCGAGAGAATCGAGTTTGGTGCGGAGAGGAGAGGTGGATGAGATTGAAACCCACCCTCCCACAAAATGTTTTGTAACAAGGAGGGCAGAGAGAAACAAAAGGGAAAGCTAACTCCACACCCTAATCTGAAAATGGAAGAGAGTCAACTGAGTGGATCCGATTTACACGTACAAATGTACGGGCGGAATAAAAAAACGAAAAAAAAAAATGTTGTAAGACGATGCGCGTCACATTCGCCACTCACAGCACAAACGGATGTTCCTATCTGATTGTTACTGTGGTTTGAGGCGCGAGTCGACTTGCAGCCTCCGCAGTTGTGCAGCTACACCTCCAGAGTACTAAGTAATATCTCCTACATGAACATGTTCGCACTTATCAAGTACATTTGAAAAAACAAAAAGGCATTGGCTCATAATAAGGAAATGTTTACAAGATAAGGTTTATAACATATGCACATGGGCTAATTAAATGGATATTATAGGGCCGTATTATTTTCTTTCCTCGTTGAAGCGAAGCGTCTCCATATGTCGTTATAAAACAAACTAACGTCACAGGCAACAAAAAAGGTGCGCGTAATTACTTCAAATATAAGGACGACGATGACAAGTACGGGAACAACAACGAGGACGCGGAGGAGGAGGAGGAGGAGGAGGAGGAGGAGGAGGACGAGGAGGAGGAGGAGGAGGAGGAGGAGGAGGAGGAGGAGGAGGAGGAGGAGGAGGAGGATGCGGAGGAGGAGCAGGAGCAGGAGCGGGAGTAGGTGCAGGAGGAGGAGCAGGAGGAGGGGAGGAGGAGGAAACATCAGTGGGAGTACTAGCGGCAAACGGCAGCAGTGCGCAATAGCCTTACCATCAAGCAGCACTAGGAAACGCTAGCGGCGAACAGTAGCTGTGCGCAACAGCCTCACCATTGAGCAGCAACATAAAATGTTCAGCAGAAGTATGAAACACCACCACGAGCACAAACAACGAACGGTAGTAGTGAGCATCCGCCTCACCATCGAGCAGCAATGGAAAATGTTCAATAGCAGTAGGAAACAACAAGAGTACCACAAGCTTGAACGGTAGTTTTGAGAATCTGGCTTGCAATTGAGCAGCAACAGGAAATGTTCAACAGCAGTAGGAAAAAACAGCACGAGCAAAAGAAGGGAACGATAGTAGTGAGCATCCGCCTCACCATCGAGCAGCAGCTGAAAATGCAGTAGTAGTGAGCATTCGCCTCACCATCGAGTAGCATCACCATCGAGCAGCAACAGAACAGGGGTGACAACGACCAGGAGGGCGACGACAACGAGGCGGAGGAGGACAAGGAGGAGGAGGAGGAGGAGGAGGAGGAGGAGGAGGAGGAGGAGGAGGAGGAGGAGGAGGAGGAGGAGGAGGAGGAGGAGGAGGAGGAAGACGACGAGGACCAGGACGAAGAGCAGGAGCAGGAGCAGGGGCAGGAGGAGGAGGAGGAGGAGGAGGAGGAGGAGGAGGAGGAGGAGGAGGAGGAGGAGGAGGAGGAGGAGGAGGAGGAGGAGGAGGACAAGGAGCAGGAGGAGGAGGAGGAAGAGGAGGAGGAGGAGGAGGAGGAGGAGGAGGAGGAGGAGGAGGACAAGGAGGAGGACGAGGAGGAGGAGGAGGGCGACGAGAAAGAAGACGACAACGATGAGGTGGAGGAAGACGAGGAGGAGGAGGAGAACGAGGAGGAGGAGGAAGACGAGGAGGAGGAGGAGGAGGAGGAGGAGGAGGAGGAGGAGGAGGAGGAGGAGGAGGAGGAGGAGGAGGAGGAGGAGGAGGAGGAGGAGGAGAACGAGGAGGACGAGGAGGAGGAGGAGAAGGAGGAGTAGGAGGAGGAAGACGAGAAGGAGGAGGAGGAAGAGGAGGAGGAGGAGGAGGAGGAGGAGGAGGAGGAGGAGGAGGAGGAGGAGGAGGAGGAGGAGGAGGAGGAGGAGGAGGAGGAAACACCAGTATGAGCACAAACAGCAAACAGTTGTACTTAGCATTCGCCTCACAATCGAGCAGCAACAAAAAATACTCAGCAGCAGTATGAAACACCATCACGAGCACAAGCAGCAAACGGTAGTAGTGAGCATCCGCCTCACCATCAAGCAACAACAGATAATATCCAGCAGCAGTAGGAAACACCAGCACGAGCACAAGCAGCGAACTGTAGTAGTGAGAAACCACCTCACCATCGAGCAGCAACTGAAGATGTTCAGCAGCCGTAGGAAACACAAGCACGAGCACAAGTAGCGAAAGGTAGTAGCCAGCATCCGCCTCACCATCGAGAAGCAACGGAAAATGTTCAGCAGCAGTAGAAAACACCAGCACGAACACAAGCAGCGAACGATAGTAGTGAGCATCCGCCTCACCATCGAGCACCAGCTGAAAATGCAGTAGTAGTGAGCATTCGCCTCACCATCGAGCAGCAACGGAAAATGCTAAACAACACTAGGAAACACCAGCACGAGCAGAAGTAGCGAACGGCAGTAGTGAGCATTTGCCTCACCATCGAGCAGCAACGGAAAATGCTCAGCAGCACTAGGATACACTAGCACGAGCACAAGGAGCGAACGGCAACAGTGAGCAGTCGCCTCACCATCGAGCAGCAATATAAAATGTTCAGCAGTGATAAGAAGCAACCGGACCAGCACAAGCAGCGAATGGTAGTAGTGAGCATCTGCCTCGCCATCGAGCAGCAACAGAACAGGTGTGACAAGGATGGTGAAGGTGACAACGACGAGGAGGAAGAGGGCAGGGAGGAGGAAGACGACGACGAGGAGGACCAGGACGAGGAGCTGGAGCAGGAGCAGGAGCAGGAGCAGGAGCAGGAGGAGAAGGAGGAAGAGGAGGAGGAAGAGGAGGAGGAGGAGGAGGAGGAGGAGGAGGAGGAGGAGGAGGAGGAGGAGGAGGAGGAAAGGAGGAGGAGGAGGAGGAGGAGGAGGAGGAAGAGGAGGAGGAGGACGAGGATGAGGAGGAAGACGAGGAGGAGGAGGAGGAGGAGGAGTAGGAGTAGGAGGAGAAGGAGGAGGAGGAGGAGGAGGAGGAGGAGGAGGAGGAGGAGGAGGAGGAGGAGGAGGAGGAGGAGGAGGAGGAGGAGGAGGAGGAGGGCGACGAGAAAGAAGTCGACGACGATGAGGTGGAGGAAGACGAGGAGGAGGAGGAGAACGAGGAGTAGGAGGAGGAAGACGAGAAGGAGGAGGAGGAAGAGGAGGAGGAGGAGGAGGAGGAGGAGGAGGAGGAGGAGGAGGAGGAGGAGGAGGAGGAGGAGGAGGAGGAGGAGGAGGAGGAGGAAACACCAGTATGAGCACAAACAGCAAACAGTTGTACTTAGCATCCGCCTCACAATCGAGCAGCAACAGAAAATACTCAGCAGCAGTATGAAACACCAGCACGAGCACAAGCAGCGAACTGTAGTAGTGAGAAACCACCTCACCATCGAGCAGCAACTGAAGATGTTCAGCAGCCGTAGGAAACACCAGCACGAGCACAAGCAGCGAAAGGTAGTAGTCAGCATCCGCCTCACCATCGAGAAGCAACGGAAAATGTTCAGCAGCAGTAGAAAACACCAGCACGAAAACAAGCAGCGAACGATAGTAGTGAGCATCCGCCTCACCATCGAGCAGCAGCTGAAAATGCAAGTAGTAGTGAGCATTCGCCTCACCATCGAGCAGCAACGGAAAATGCTAAACAGCACTAGGAAACACCAGCACGAGCAGAAGTAGCGAAGGGCAGTAGTGAGCATTCGCCTCACCATCGAGCAGCAACGGAAAATGCTCAGCAGCACTAGGATACACCAGCACGAGCACAAGGAGCGAACGGCAACAGTGAGCATTCGCCTCACCATCGAGCAGCAATATAAAATGTTCAGCATCGATAAGAAGCAACCGGACCAGCACAAGCAGCGAATGGTAGTAGTGAGCATCTGCCTCGCCATCGAGCAGCAACAGAACAGGTGTGACAAGGACGGGGAAGGCGACGACGACGAGGAGGAAGAGGGCAGGGAGGAGGAAGACGACGACGAGGAGGACCAGGACGAGGAGCTGGAGCAGGAGCAGGAGCAGGAGGAGAAGGAGGAAGAGGAGGAGGAAGAGGAGGAGGAGGAGGAGGAGGAGGAGGAGGAGGAGGAGGAGGAGGAGGAGGAGGAGGAGGAGGAAAAGGAGGAGGAGGAGGAGGAGGAAGAGGAGGAGGAGGACGAGGATGAGGAGGAAGACGAGGAGGAGGAGGAGGAGGAGGAGGAGGAGGAGTAGGAGTAGGAGGAGAAGGAGGAGGAGGAGGAGGAGGAGGAGGAGGAGGAGGAGGAGGAGGAGGAGGAGGAGGAGGAGGAGGAGGAGGAGGAGGAGGAGGAGGAGGACCACGACGACGACGAGGACCATGACGACAACGACGAGGAGGAGAAGGACGAGGAGGACGAGGAGGATGAGGAGGAGGAGGAGGAGGAGGAGGAGGAGGAGGAGGAGGAGTAGGAGGAGGAGGAGGAGGAGGAGGAGGAGGAGGAGGAGGAGGAGGAGGAGGAGGAGGAGGAAACACCAGCATGAGCACAAGCAGCAAATAGTAGTACTGAGCATCCGCCTCACAATCGAGAAGCAACAGAAAACACTCAGCAATAGTATGAAACACCAGTACAAGCACAAGCAGCGAACGGTAGTAGTGAGTAGTCGCTTCACCATCGAGGAGCAACAGGAAATACTTAGTAGCAGTAGGCAACACTAGCACGAGCACAAGCAGCGGACGGTAGTAGTGAACATCCGCCTCACCATCAAGCAGCAACAGAAAGTATTCAGCAGCAGTAGGAAACACCAGCACGAGCACAAGCAGTGAACAGTAGTAGTGTGCATTCGCCTCACCATCGAGCAACAATATAAAATATCCAGCAGTAGTGGAAACACCATCACGAGCACAAGCAGCAAACGGTAGTAGTGAGCATCCGCCTCACCATCAAGCAACAACAGATAATATCCAGCAGCAGTAGGAAACACCAGCACGAGCACAAGCAGCGAACTGTAATAGTGAGAATCCGCCTCACCATCGAGCAGCAACTGAAGATGTTCAGCAGCCGTAGGAAACACCAGCACGAGCACAAGCAGCGAAAGGTAGTAGTCAGCATCCGCCTCACCATCGAGAAGCAACGGAAAATGTTCAGCAGCAGTAGAAAACACCAGCACGAACACAAGCAGCGAAAGATAGTAGTGAGCATCCGCCTAACCATCGAGCAGCAGCTGAAAATGCAGTAGTAGTGAGCATTCGCCTCACCATCGAGCAGCAACGGAAAATGCTAAATAGCACTAGGAAACACCAGCACGAGCAGAAGTAGCGAACAACAGTAGTGAGCATTCGCCTCACCATCGAGCAGCAACGGAAAATGCTCAGCAGCACTAGGATACACCAGCACGAGCACAAGGAGCGAACGGCAGCAGTGAGTATTCGCCTCACCATCGAGCAGCAATATAAAATGTTCAGCAGCGATAAGAAGCAACCGGACCAGCACAAGCAGCGAATGGTAGTAGTGAGCATTTGCCTCGCCATCGAGCAGCAACAGAACAGGTGTGACAAGGACGGGGAAGGCGACGACGACGAGGAGGAGGAGGGCAGGGAGGAGGAAGACGACGACGACGAGGACCAGGACGAGGAGCAGGAGCAGGAGCAGGAGCAGGAGCAGGAGCAGGAGCAGGAGCAGGAGGAGAAGGAGGAAGAGGAGGAGGAAGAGGAGGAGGAGGAGGAGGAGGAGGAGGAGGAGGAGGAGGAGGAGGAGGAGGAGGAGGAGGAGGAGGAGGAGGAGGAGGAAAAGGAGGAGGACCATGACGACGACGAGGAGGAGAAAGACGAGGAGGACGAGGAGGAAGAGGAGGAGGAGGAGGAGGAGGAGGAGGAGGAGGAGGAGGAGGAGGAGGAGGAGGAGGAGGAGGAAGAGGAGGAGGAGGAGGAGGAGGAAAAGGAGGAGGAGGAGGAGGAGGAACTGTACTGTATGGTTTGTCCACTCGCTCAGTTTTTGTTGGCAGAGTGGTTCGGAGCGGCAGTGCGTGGTGCTGGGCCGTTGTGTGTGGTCATTGGTGGTGTTGAGTGCCCGTGAGTGGTGACGAGCGGTGACGAGTGGTGATGAACGGTGTAGTCTGTCTACGGTGTGACGTTGATGTCCGTCTCCCGCCTCTCGACTACTGCAAACAAGGATGCCTTGAGCATCATGGAAACGGTTGTGAGGACTGTACAACACTGGTGGTTGTGCTTGTCTAGTGATTCTTAACCATTTGTGTCATCCCAACGATCAAGATAGGTTCAACGTGTTTCATTTCTTCGCATAGCATCCTCTTCTATCACTTTACCGTACATTGTGCAAAAATTCTGGAGACAAAGCATTCTGAACTTCAGCAGCAGCACAAACAATGACATCGGCAGCAACAGCAGGGCAGCAGTAGCAAGCAGCAACAGCAGAGCAGCAGCAAGCAGTGACGGCAGCAGCAGTAGCAAGCAGTGACGGCAGCAGCAGGAGCAAGCAAGCATTGACAGCAGCAGCAGGAGCAAGCGAGTAGTGACAGCAGCAGCAGGAGCAAGCAAGCAGTGACGGCAGCAGCAGGAGTAAGCAAGCAGTGACGGCAGCAGCAGGAGCAAGCAAGCAGTGACGGCAGCAGCAGGAGTAAGCAAGCAGTGACAGCAGCAGCAGGAGTAAGCAAGCAGTGACGGCAGCAGCAGGAGCAAGCAAGCAGTGACGGCAGCAGCAGGAGTAAGCAAGCAGTGACGGCAGCAGCAGGAGTAAGCAAGCAGTGACAGCAGCAGCAGGAGTAAGCAAGCAGTGACGGCAGCAGCAGGAGCAAGCAAGCAGTGACGGCAGCAGCAGGAGCAAGCAAGCAGTGACGGCAGCAGCAGGAGTAAGCAAGCAGTGACGGCAGCAGCAGGAGTAAGCAAGCAGTGACGGCAGCAGCAGTAGCAAGCAAGCAGTGTCGGCAGCAGCAGTAGCAAGCAAGCAGTGACGGCAGTAGCAGGAGCAAGCTAGCAGGGTTTAAAGGTGTATAGCGACTGGCCGACTTTCCCACAGTTGTATTGCAAGGGGGAGCTGGTTGGGGGGTGTGATATTGTGCTGCAGATGCACGAGAGTGGGGAGTTGAAAGAGGTGTTTGCAGAGAAAGGGGTGCTGGGAGGGGCGGGGAAGGGAGATGCACCAGGAGCAGTGACGGCAGCAGCAGCAGCGGCGGATGGGCAGGTTGATGGGGCGAAGGGGTTGCAAGAGCGGCTGAAGGCACTCCTCTCGTCTTCGCCTACCATGCTGTTCATGAAGGTATGTTGGAGTAGAGTGGGTTGGGGCGTATGTGATAATCTGTATCGTCCTGCCTTAGCTAATAAAGATGATTGAAGGCACTCGTCTCGTCTTCGCCTTCCTCTCATCCCTTCCTCTCATCCCTTCCTCTCATCCCTTCCTCTCATCCCTTCCTCTCATCCCGTCCTCTCTGCTGCGTTACCTCTCAGGGAACACCGGAGGAGCCGCGGTGTGGGTTCAGCCGCAAGGTGGTGGATGCAGTCCAGTCAGACATGGACTCATCGCATGTTTCCTTCCTTCTTCCCCATGGCTTGTCCTCACGGCCTTGCCTTGCTTTCCCAGGGCACACCAGAGGAGCCGCGGTGTGGGTTCAGCCGCAAGGTGGTGGATGCACTCACGTCAGAAGGTATTTCCTTTGGCAGTTTTGACATTCTCACGGACGAGGCAGTGCGGCAGGGGCTGAACACATGCCTTTACACCCCCCCAACCCCCCTTCCCCTGCCTTCCTGTGCTATGTACCCATGACCATCCCCATCCCTTGTTATTCAGGGAACACCGCAGGAGCCCCGGTTGTGGGTTCAGCCGCAAGGTGGTGGATGCAGTCAAGTCAGACATGGACTCATCGCATGTTTCCCCCCCTCTCTTCCCCCCTTTCTTCCCCCCCTCTTCCCCCCTTCTTCCCCCCCTCTTCCCCCCCTCTTCCCCATGGCTTGTCCTCACGGCCTTGCCTTGCTTTCCCAGGGCACACCTGAGGAGCCGCGGTGTGGGTTCAGCCGCAAGGTGGTGGACTGCACTTACGTCAGAAGGCATTTCCTTTGGCAGTTTTGACATTCTCACGGATGAAGCAGTGAGGCAGGGGCTGAAGGAGCTCTCCAATTGGCCCACGTACCCCCAGGTGTACCACAAGGGCGAGCTGATTGGTGGATGCGATATTGTGCTTGAAATGAAGGCTAATGGGGAGCTTAAAGCCGAGCTTGGAGGGTGAAGTTCACTGTACTGTGTAGCTAAATCATTTTCATATACCCGGTAGCACCAAGGTAGAGCTGATTGGCATCTGTTTTTTTAACCACAGTAAAAACAATGTGCCCATCTTTTGTGTCACTCGCAGTCCGATATGCCACTTTTTTCCTCCAAGCTCCAACAGCAACAGATGCTACTACAGCCTGAAAATCATGCTCCAACAACTTCATTTGTTATCCTGCAGCAATGAATTGGCGCAGACGACTCTCAAGGTCAGGTCAAAAGTCAGCTGGTACGGCCAGTCCTACCATTATGCAAACACTCGTCAGAGACACGACAGCTAGAGTCCTGCGAACCAACGCTCACGTAAAGCACAATGCCTAACACAATCGTCCTAAATACGCTTAGCATGTGAGCGTTGCTTTCAAAAAGTTAACTCCCATGACTGTACCCTCCAGCACAGTTGTCGATCGCATACGGATGCCATGGGTGGGGTAGGGTCTAGGGATGGATGGCAAGTTGGCAATGGCCAATGCCGATCACTCATCGAGGTACGGTAGTGTAGGTGCCACTGCTAGCAGACTTGTGCTCCCATCCCATGAGTGCACCCTTTCATGGGCATGCCAAAACGGCCAATGCCATGCCCGCACTCAGTCGTCCAGGTAGTAGTAGGTGCCGGCATTCTTCTGCTCGCGGTCCTTGACAGAATCCATCTTGTTGATGCGCGGCCGAAAGTTGGTGGGGTCGCGCCGGAACGTGATGTCCAGTTGCTGGGGGGGGAGGGTGGTGGTGGTTGGGGGTGGGAGGAAACGATGGTTGTGAGGGGCACGGTAGCGAGAAGAGGTGAAAACGGGAGGGAGAAAGGGGTTCCATGAGTGCACCCTACAAGCGCACAGCTCCCTTGGGCATGCCGGAAGAGGTTCATGCCGCTGTTGAGCGACTTGAGGAGTGCAAGCCGTGCAATCCACGGACGGCTGCCCCTCGTAGACAATCACGCGGTCCGCCAGGTACGTGGCCATGATGAAGTCGTGCTCCACCACAAAGGGGGGTTCTCACTCACACAGCAAGCAACAAGGGGTCTCTCACCGAGAGGAAGAGGTTCATGCCGCTGTTGAGCGACTGGGGCCGTGCGCGCCGTGCAGTCCACCGACGGCTGCCCCTCGTACACGATGACGCGGTCCGCCAGGTACGTGGCCATGATGAAGTCGTGCTCCACCACAAACGCCGTCTCTTGGCGTGCAGGATGAAGCGCTTGATCACCTTGGCCGCCACAATGCGCTGCTCTGAATCCAAGTAGGCTGAGGGTTCATCAATCAGGTAGATGTCGGCAGGCTGGGAGGAAAGGGGGTGTGGGGGGTTGGAAGTGGAAGTGGAATGTTAAAGGGAGGGGAGGGATGAACGGCTTGATCACCTTGGCTGCCACGATGCGCTGCTCCGAATCCAGATAGGCCGAGGGCTCGTCTATGAGGTAGATGTCGGCAGGCTGGGAGGAGAGAGAAGAAGGAACGCATGTGCAGGATGAACGGCTTGATGACCTTGACCGTCACGATGCGCTGCTCTTGAGTCGAGATAGGCCGAGGGTTCATCGATCAGATAGATGTCGGCAGGCTGGAGAAAGGAGAAAGTGGAAGAGGGGGAGAAAGGGAAAAAAGGGAAGGATGAACCGCTTGATGACCGTGGCTGCCACAATGCACTGCTCTTGAGTCGAGATAGGCCGATGGATCGTCAATGAGGTAGATGCCACCAAGGCAGAGGGAAATAGCGACGCACCTTCCCAAAGCAGAGGGAAATAGCCACGCACCTTCCCTAGGCAGAGGGAAATAGCCAAGCACCTTCCCAAGGCAGAGGGAAATAGCCACGCACCTTCCCAAGGCAGAGGGAAATAGCCACGCACTTTCCCAAAACAGAGTAATATAGCCACGCACCTTCCCAAGGCAGAGGGGAATAGCCACGCACCTTCCAAGGCAGAGGGAAATAGCCACGCACCTTCCAAGGCAGAGGGAAATAGCCACGCACCTTCCCAAAGCGGAGGGAAATAGCCACGCACCTTCCCAAGGCAGAGGGAAATAGCCACGCACCTTCCCAAGGCAGAGGGAAATAGCCACGCACCTTCCCAAGGCATAGCGAAATAGCCACGCACCTTCCCAAAACAGAGGGAAATAGCGACGCACCTTCCCAAGGCAGAGGGAAATAGCCATGCGCTGCAGCTCTCCTCCTGACAAATTCACCACCTCCTGGTCGAGCAGGGGGTCGATCTGCATGAGACAACTTCTGAGCCGCCCCAAAACCGTCCCAAAACCGCCCCAAAACCACCCAAAACCGCCCCCAAACCACCCCAAAACCGCCCCAAAACCGCCTCAGACCACCTTAAAATCCCAAGAGGGACTTGATGCACCCCTTCCTTACCTTGCCAAGGCACAGCGTGATGGCCACGCGCTGCAGCTCCCCTCCTGAGATTTTCACCACCTCCTGGTCGAGCAGGGGGTCGATCTGCATGGGGCAACTTCTGAGCCGCCCCAGAACCGCCCCAAACCACCTTGAACCGCCGCAGTCTCCAAGAGAGAGTTGACCAACCCACCCACTCCTTCCTTACCTTTCCCAGACAAAGGTAATAGCCACGCGCTGCAGCTCCCCACCCGACAAATTCACCACCTCCTGGTCCAGGAGCGGGTCGATCTGCATGGGGCGCAGCACGTCGGTGTTGAACTGTGGGTGGTGGAACGAGTCTCGGATCTTGGAGTGCAGCAGCGCGCGCACGCTGTGGGGAACTTGGGGGAGATCTTCTGCGGCCTTGTACGACACGTTGAACTCCGGGAGGTCCTCGGCCTCCTTGCCGGTCTCCTCGTCCGGGTCAGCCTTTAAGAGACCAGCCTGTAAGGGGTTGAGAAGGACACAGGAGAGCGGAAAGGAGAGGAACGAGAGGGTATGAGAGGGGGAACTTGCGGCTGATCTTCTGCGGCTTGTAACGACACGTTGAACTCCGGGAGGTCCTCAGCTTCTTTCCCGGTCTCCTCGTCTGGATCTGCCTTCAACGAGGCCGGCCTGGAGGGGTTCAGAACGAGACAGGAGAGGAGAGGGGAGGAGGGAGGAGAGTAACGCAGAAAACTTGGGGCTGGGCTGGTCTTCTGCGGCCTGTACAACACACTGAAATCCGGGAGATCTTCGGCTTCCTTGCCAGTTGATTCGTCCGGGTCGGCCTTTAACAGACCAGCCTGCGTGATACAAGGGAGAAGGGAGACAAGGCACGGGGGATCGAAGTGGAAAGGGAAGAAAAAGGGACGGAGAATGAGAATGGGAAGGGAAACTTGGGGCTGGGCTGGTCTTCTGCGGCCTGTACGACGCGTTGAACTCGGGAAAACCTTGGGCCTCCTTGCCGGTTTCCTCATCTGGGTCCGGCCTTGAGAGAGCCGCCTGGAAGGGAGAGAGGAGGGATGGAAGATGGATCATGGAAGGGACAGGGAGGAGAGAGAGCCAAAGAGACGTGCAAGCTGGCGATATTGGGAGACGCGGAAACGGGAAGGAAACGGGAATTTAGGAGCCAACGACTAGCCCAACCGGTATGCATATGACACAAGAGTCGGCCTATTAGCTCTTCGGAAGCATGTGGCATGGTGCGGGCACATGCAAGTTGGGCTACCGGCCTACCACCAGCCATGCACAGGTGAGAGAGTTGGCCCTACCAGCATGCGGATAAAGGTGGTTTCGCCGGTGCCATTCTCCCCCAGCATCACCACGATCTGCGAGTCTGTGCCTTGCGTCCACTGCCATCCCTACCTATGGTGCACACATGTGCCTACCAGCATGCGCACCCATGAGAGACAGCTTCCCTACCAGCATGCGGATAAAGGTGGTCTTGCCGGTGCCGTTCTCCCCCAGCATCACCACGATCTGTGAGTCCGTGAAGTCACCAGGTTCCACCGTCAGCTTGAATCCGCCCTGCTTCTTGACCATGCGCGGGTACTTGTAGCGCGTGTACGTCTTGGCCTCTTCAGGGTTATCGACTGGGGTTTCAGCAACCTGAGATGGAATGGAGAGGGGGGGAGGGGAAGGAGGGGCTTGAACCCGCCCTGCTTCTTGACCATGCGCGGGTACTTGTAGCGCGTGTACGTCTTGGCTTCTTCAGGATTATCCTACCGGGGTTTCAGCCACCTGATGGGAGCAATGATGGGTTGAGATGGGTCAGAAATAAGGGTAATTTAGCTGCAAAGCTTGAACCCGCCCTGCTTCTTGATCATGCGCGGGTACTTGTACCGCGTGTACGTCTTGGCCTCTTCAGGATTATCCACCGGGGTTTCAGCCACCTGAGATGGAATGAAGGGGGGTGAAAGAATGGAGTGAGGGAGGGGAAGGAGGAGGTTGAACCCGCCGTGCTTCTTGATCATGCCCAAATACCTGTACCGAACCGACTGTACGTCTTGGCCTCCCTCCTCAGGATTATCCACCAGGGTTTTTCGTCCCCTGATGGGAGGGGGAAAGGAGAAGAGGCACGGGCGGAGGAGAGGGAGTGGAGGGGAGGAAAGGAGTGCTTTGAGGAACCTGAGACAGCACACAGAGAGCTTCAACACGCCCTGCTTCTTGATCATGCGTGGGGTACTTGTACCAAGTATATGTCTTGGCCTCGTCCGTTTCTTCCAACTCTTGAAAATGAATGAGCTTTTCGTCTCAAAAATGTGGGTCTGACTTCTGAGTCGACTTTTGTGTCTTAAGTCGGCTCAAAAGATGAAAAAAAAATATGCTCATGCCCTATCTAACGAAGTTGGAAACTGAGGCAAGGAAGAAACATCCATTCACAAAGAGGAGCGACAGACAAGCAGACCCACACGGAAGGTGAGCGACTCGTCTTGAAAACGCAGGTTTCCAGCTGGTATGAAGCCGGCAAGAAAGATGTTCATTCCCTCGAGCACAGAGAAACACAAAATTCCCCTCTTTTCAAGTCAACACCTAAAGCAGACTCACCCTGAAGGTGAGCGGCTCGTCTCGGAAGCGCAGGTTCTCGGTCAGAACAAAGCCGGCAAGGAAGATGTTGATGCCCCCTCGCACTGCTGATTGAATTCTAAAGGTGTGTGCCTGCAATATGAAAATTTTGATTGTCCCGACGGACACGGTGACACCCTCACGGCAGACTCACCCTGAATGTGAGCGACTCGTCTCGGAAGCGCAGGTTCTCGGTTGGCACGAAGCCAGCCAGGAAGATGTTGATGCCCTCTCGCACGGAGAAGGGCAGCGTGACCACCCCGTAGGCACCGGGCTTGCCGTAGAGGCAGCAGATGAAGTCCGAGAGATAGTCGAGCACACTGAGATCGTGCTCCACCACAATGACGTATCTGGGGGGGGATGGGGATGATGGAATGGGGAGTGAGTGGGCAGGGCAGTGGGTGCATGGGGTGATAGCGCAGAAAAACCGCCCCTGTATGCCCCTGGCTTGCCGTAGAGGCAGCACATGGAAGTGGGAGAGCTAGTCGAGCACACTCAGGTCACGCTCCACCACAATCACGTATCTGGAACGGTGGGGGATGCATGGAGGAATGGGGGAATGAAAGGGAGCAAGGGAAAGGGCAGTGGGGTAACAATATCGTACCACTGGTTTCATATTCCTATCTCGATGTCTCAAGTATTTTAGCACTAATGGATTTGGTTCAACTAGCTTGTTTATTCGGTTACATATTGACTCCCTTCGAGGGGTTCAAGAACTTACTAAGGGAGTCAATATGTAACCGAATGACCAGCTATTTGAATCAAATCCAACAGTGTTTAAATACTTGAGCATGAATAGGAATATGAAACAAATGACCAGCTATGACCAGCTATTTTGAATCCCTCTTTCCCCTGCTCTATCCACCAACCATTGATCGCACCTGTTCGGACCACTGACCATACCTGTCGGCGGCGCAGCAGCGAGCGGCATGACCCTGGCTGCCTTCAATCGCTGCCGCACGTCCAGGTAGCTGGAAGGCTCATCGAACATGTAGATGTCTCCCAGCTGCCCCGCCACCACTCCAATGGCAAAACCGTCTGCAGCTCGCCTCCTGACAGATGCTCCACCTCACGCTCCCACACCCTGAAAGGAGTGGTGAATCGGGATGAGGATAGGTGATTAGGTGGGAAGAGGAGAGGGCTCATCGAACATGTAGATGTCTGTCTCCCAGCTGCCCCCCCCACCACTCCAACGGCAAAGCGCTGCAGCTCTCCTCCGGACACGTGCTCCACCTCACGCTCCCACACCTTGGACGAGGGAAGGGGAAAAGGGAGGAAGGCGAATAGGAAGGAATTAGACGGGGGAAGTGCAACCAGATGGGGGTGTGCAAGACTAGCTCGTTGGCCCTGATGGCAAACCGATCAATGTTTTTCCCCCTACCGCCTCTTTATGCACCCACCCTTCTCTGTGAGCACCACGCCCACCCCCCCCTTCACCGAAGAGAAACAAGGGGTACTATAACGCAGAGCGTGGACAATA